TTATATCTTTATTCTTTATATTTTTAATTAATCTTAAAATTTACTCTTTAAATAAGGTTTAATCTTTCTTAAGGATATAATATTATATCTTATTATATTCCTTAAGGTATTAATTTTATTTTATTTATTTTTTATAATTTATATAATTCAATATAAAAAAGATCTTTTTATAGCTCTTTTAATAATAATATTAAGCTTTATTAAAAGCTTAATATAAATTATTTAATTAATTATTATATTTTTAAATTATTATAAATAAAATTAGCTTAATAATATTCTTTACTTTAATCTTTTTTTCTTTTAATAATAAACAATCTAAGGCCTCTTAATATTATCTTAATAATATTTCCTTTATTAATAATTATAAAGAATTTAATAAGACCTATTTTTTCTCTTAGAATACCTTTAATTCCTTTAATTACTTAATTTATTTCTTAACTTAATATTATTATTAATAAATTATTATTATTTTATTAGATTTATTATTAAGTTAAGGTTTAAGATACATAATATTATTAATTTTTATAGATCTTATTAAAGAAAGATTTTTAAGGCCTTTATAGGCTATCTTTAAGAAAATTATTTTCTTAGGTAATTTATAAGAGAAGCTTTAGAAATATTATAATTATAACTTCTTAAGTTATAAAAAGCTAAGTAAATAAAATAATTATATTAGATTAAAGCTTATTAAATCTAAGATAATAAAAGCTATAATAAAAAATAAAGGTTTCTTTTATAAAGCCCCTTTAAAAGGCTAGGGGTATATAAGTTAATTATTATATTAGTTTATATAAAATAATATACTAATAATAAAGAAATTCTTATTTTATAAAATAAATATAAATAAAAAGTTAATAAATAAGAAGCTTTATTAATAATCTTATTAATAAATAAAATAAGGTTTTAAATAAAGGTTTAATAAGAAGTTTATTAACCCTAAGTAAATTCCTAATTATAAAGAAAGTAAATATAATATATAAATATAATAAGTAACCTTATTAAATTACTAAAGGGGTTAAAAATTAAAGCCTTAGTTTTTAATAGCTAGAAAAGCTAGTCTATAAGTGCTATTACCCTTTTACTCTTAATAGCTATTATTTTTATTAATAAAGCTACTATTATTATATATATTAAATATCTCTATTAATATCTCTATAAGTATTAAATAAAAAGCTATTAATTAATTTAAAATTAAAAATTAATTTAACCTTATAATATACCTAGAGGGTAAATTAAGGTAACCTAATTAAATTAATATAATTATATATAATTAAGCTATTATACTTAATATCTTTTAATATAAAAATTAATATTAAATAAGCTCTATAAATACTCTTATACTTAATACTTTACCTTAATAAACCTTATCTTATTAAGAATATATTATTAATTAATAATAATAAAAATAGCTAATTTATTTTTTATTTTAAAAATAATAATTTATTATTATTAATAATAATATAATATAAAATAGCCCCTTTTATATAAATTACCTAATATATTCTCCCTCTAAATAACTCTAGCCCTAAAGTAAACTAATATAAGACTATATTTCTATACCCCTTTAATATATTAACCCTATTAAGGCTAGACCTTAAAACTATTTAAAATTACCTAAAGTAGGCTAACTTATTAAGACTAGTAAAGCTAAAAAAGCTCCTTATAGTCTTATAACCTTTATTAGACCTCTAGAGGGTTTATTTAATAGCTTTTAATTATTTTTTACTTTAGTTATAAAGTAATCTTATTAATAATAAATAGGCCTTTATTGAATCCTAAGAGGATTATCTCTTTAACCTCGCTAATTATATTAAATATAGCTACTTCTTATATATTAAAGAATTAATATTCCTTATTACCTTATAATAATAAAAAATATAGATATAAGAGCTTTTTTACTCTATAGAGAGGGTTTAAATAAAAAGTTAATAAGCGAGAAGCTTAACTTATAACCTTCTTAATAAATAAGATAGAGTTATAGATAAAAGTTTAATAAAAAATCTATTAAACCTATATAAATTACTAAATATAAAGATAATAAATATAATATATAAATATAATAAGTAATTTAATTAAATTATTAGAGATTAATTTAAAATAATTTATAAGGTAATAAAGGCGGAATTAATTAATAATATATTATTATATTCCCCTTTTATACCTCTTAATACATAAGTGGTTGTGGGGCTCGGTTTAGCCGGGAGGCTTAACATGACTCAAGAGATAACCCTAGTGGTAATTTAAGCGAGGGCCATGTGATGTAATATATCCGGTTGGTAATTGCGAGCTTTCTTCTTTCTGTTTTATTCTACTCCACATCTGCCCATTATTCTACATTTCAGCATCGCAAAACCCACACCCTCACCAGCCGTATCCTCATAGCCAGGCTCTGTCAAGATGTCTGACGAGATGTCTGACGTTCTTAAACAAATGATTCATCGGGTTTGGTGCCCCCCACGTGGGTCCAAGCTGGGACGTGAAGGGTGGAAGAACCCCAACAATTTTCAGTACTACCGCAAATGGGGCTTTACCATCTACCGCACCTATTACGGCAATGACGAGAATTGGCAAGCTCTTCTATACTCTTTAAGGCATCAGACTAAACTGGCATTCGGAGCCTTCGAAGACGACAAGGAGATAGACCAAGATGTTAGGCGAAAACTTCAAGAATCATTCTATCTCGATGTCCGTGACGATCCCTCGCCACTAGACGGACTCGATGTTCGAGGTCTTCGGGAATTTTGCAACGCCGAAAAGCTCAAGGAGACTGAAGTCATAGAGAAAGGCGGCCAGAAGCTCCGCGTGAGCACAAGGCCTCGTGAGAGCCAAGGCATGGCAGACCACCTATTCAATTTCATTCTGCTTGCTGATGAAGCAGTTTTGAAAGATATCGAAAAGGGAGAATCTATTGTCAAGGCTGTCTCGTTGCTGTGGGACGGTAACTCGGGATGGGGATGGATGAGGATCCCAACAGGCTATCTGTTAGAGTTATGGACATTCCTCATGTGGAATGATGACCGAACGGAGTACTGTCTTCGCTTTCGCGGGCCTGAAGGAGATCTTGAGGACCATATCTGGGCCGGGGACGTTGCACTTCACTGCACTGGAAGATATTCGGAGATTCGCCGACGGCGGTACTACAGTACCCAAAAGGATTATATGTACTAAGGAAGTATGAAGCATCAACCCGAATTGTATTCGTTAAGATACAAAACGTTCAATCCAGCTTGGCACAGGAATATATACAGAATCTAGATAATTCCCGACCAACACAACCAAAACTGAATACAAGCCCCCAATCAAGTCCCTCCCATCTCCGTATCTTTATCTTCCTTTATATCTTTAGGTTCAGTAATAGGACTGTTAAAAGCCGGAAACCCCGAAGTATCAATCCTTATCCGATCACCATCACCTGCCATCTCCTCAAATTGCGCCATCATCTCGCGCATCTGGCTGGCATGTCTCTCCTCCACACCCTCATCCTCCATCAGTTCGTGGATCTGTGCAACCATATCCGCCATGTTCTTCTTGAACTCGCTGACCACTTTCGCATAGTAACCCTTGATCCAGTCAAGCCAGTAGTTGGCGATCTGGACATTCGCGCCAGGATGTCCCTTGTTGTAGACATTCTCGGCAAACTTCAATTGCACATATACATCCTTGACGATCTTGTTTAACCTGACCAGGGTTTCGGGCAGATTCATGTATCTAAACACGCTGAATCTTGCACGGATTCGTCCGACTATTACCCTGGCGTCCTGTTTCCATTCGTCTTTCGACTTGCCCTCCGGGTCTAGTTTGTCCTCTATACTAGTTTTAGAGGGCCTTTTTTGGAAGCGAAGCATCTGGCAGGGTCAGTAAGCCAATCTGGTATTAAAAGAAGGGGACATGCACTATGAGGGAGCTGATAGAATAGAATAGGAGAGAGAATCAGGAGTGAACAGAGGAAATAGAAATGAAGACAAGAGAAAGGACCTACAAAATTCTTGGCATCGTTGATATCTTCGTCAGCAATCATAAAGACCTGGTCGTTATTCTTGCTGCCTAAACACTCATACGCACGTTCGAAGAGTCTTTCCAGTTCTCTGCCTCCAGGGAGTTTAGGTGCTTTGGGCTCTAAGCTCAAGTCGAGATTCTCCATCTTGAACCAGAACTCAATTGGAATGGGTCCATACTTTGAGCGTTTACCAGTTGAGGGTATACTGGCCTTTATTAGCAAACATTTCTAGGTATATATGTTGTGGGTTATATCATACAGTCCCAGGGCTGATCCTGCGAGAAAGGCCTCATAGATATTCTTGTCGAGGACATGCTCAACTATTTTCACCTATTAGAACTGATACCGAAGAGGAACGTTGGGCGAATGATACGTACGATGCACTTTAAAGTCACGAGCGTCGCTGTATTTCCTCATTCTTACATCGGCTTTTTCGCAGGGACCACGGTGACGTATCTCCACTACTCTATTAAGGAGTGGATTGTCTTGGGGAAGTTTGCTGATATCAGAATACTACTTGCATTAGTTTAAAATCAGAATTTAGCAGTGCTAAAAAAGACTTACTGGAGGAACCCTTATTTGGAAGTCATGTTCTTTGTCATCTTCATCCGTAATGTAGACAGTACTCACTGCTCCCGATTCCTCCTCGCGGGCAGCCAGGTGGTGATGGTGAGAGTGGTGGCTTGAATGGGAGAGGTGGTTTGAATGTCGGCCAAACAAGGCGGCATGACGACGTTTGTTGTCGGCCTTAGCGTCCTCGCCCAGCTCCCCACAGTCTCCATCAGAATAACAGAGGGCTGATTCCGTACAGTTGAGAAGTAGAGTATCACCGTCCTTGTCACCGTTCAAGAAGGCTTCGATCTGCGCGGCCCAGTAGGCGGGATAGCACAGAACCTTGCGGGCGAACACAGCAGGGCCCTCCCAGTCGAATCGCCAATTGTTTCTGATGTAGTTGGACATGTAGGTAACTTGCAGATAAAAATGGCGATCTCGAATAGCAGTGTTCCAGATGAGGTACATCTGAGGTAGCATAGCATCACTGCCTAAACGACCAAGTATTCTGGTAAGGAGGTCCAGAGGCGACATGTCCGCGGGGTGTTCGGCCCGGACAGCGAGCTCAGTAGATGAAGACGATAGACCGCGTTTCTTGAGGACGTTGGAGGGGTTGGGACAGTATTCATCCTCTATCCAGTCGGCCAAGTAGTTCTTGTAAGCCTCGAGCTTCTCGTTTGCTTCCCACATCTCCTCGCCGTACTCTGTCTTGCAACATGTGGCTTGTCCGCCAACCTCGTAAGTGGAACACACATGGAACGCCCAATCGATGGCGACGCGGACGCGGTCGCTAGGGCAATTGCTGCGACAGGTTCCTTCGGGATATCCTGGAATCATAGGGCCAACGTTGCGAAAGATCTGGCAGTCGGTGAACTGCAAGTCTTGCTTGGTGCCGCAGCAGTAGTTGCGCATCTGTACGCCCAAAATTTCATTGCCAATCGCATTCCTCAGGTTATTGCACTCCAGGCCACCAGAGCCTGACCCGGACCTAGCCACGGGCACATCGTGGTAGCCCGAGGGACACTCGGGCTTGCTGTCACACTCGGGATACGCTCCCCATGTGCACTCGCCGTAGACCTTCATGCTCTCGCTTTCGGTCGTGCAGCACGCCGTCTGCACCATTGGGGGATGATTGCAGTACATCTGGTTGCTGCCGATCTCGGTCATGCCGCTTGGACAACTCGTCGATTTCTTGCAAGCACCATTGCCATGACCGTACCATCCACACTGGGGAATATCTTGGTCGGGAGGACAGCAGAAGAGATGCGATCCATCACCACCACAGCCAGTCTCGTCATACATCAGCTCATTCTTCCGAGCACCTTTGTCGAGACGGCCAACGTGCACCCAGCCCTTAGGGCATGATTCCTTGCAGTTTGTCCATCGACATTGCTCGTAAGGCTTCTTCACCCACGTGCCTGTCTTCTCGTCATCGTCAAGGGAACCGCTCGTCCATTCACGTCCAAGTATGCCGGCCAATGCCTTATTGTACCTGGCATCTTTTGTATCGTGACTGATTGCCCAGACCATAACACCGCCCAGGCATCTTTCTCCCGCACGGTCAACCTTGATCTGAAGCGTCTCTTCATCATCATAGGACACCCATTGCTTGCCCCATGTCACCACCTGAACGGCCTCCTCTTCGTAGAGCTTGGGTTTCAGCTTGCGCTTCTCGATCTCATTTTGGATTTCCGAGTTGAGCAAGATACCCTTTTCTCGGCTGCAACTGCCTGCATTAGCCGGCCCATTAAACAGGCAGCCGGGATCTTTGCATGCTGCAGATTGGACAGTAAAGGCACGACCATAGAATCCTAGGCCCATGACAACCTTGCTCGGGCTGATGTCGTTGCGCCAAAGAAGATCCAGTGCTGACTCGATCTCGGTCAAATTGGTATGGGCATTGAGATAGGGCTTAGTCCAGTTGACGTGCTGGTCCCAAGCGCCGTGCAGGTCGTAGGACATAATGTTGAAAAAGTCAACCGTGGATTCCTGAATCTAGTTAGTTGGGTTCCAGACTACTCCTCACGACTGGAAATATACTTGCCAGCTTCTTGATATCAAAGTACTGTAAGTACCAGTAGGATGCAGGAAGGGTGATAGTTAAGCCTTTGTCGCCTGAGTTCATCAACTTCCTCAACTTCTGCATGAACTTGGGAAAGTTGTAGTAATCGTCTTCCTTGCCGCCACGCTTGTCGTCAACAGGATATTCCCAGTCCAAGTCCAGGCCATCGAACTTATGCTTCGCCATGAAAGACTGGAGAGAGTTGAAGAACTTCTGTTGATTGTCATTTGATGCAGCCAAATCGGAGAAGACGTTAGCTGTAGGACCGGGATCATTGAATGTCCACCCGCCAATAGCAAGATAGATCTTGAGTCTCTTGTCCTTCTTCTTTAGAAACATCAGCCTTTCATACATTGCCTTATCATCAAGCGTATTAGCTTCAAGTGTGAACGTTTTTGGGTTGATGGTGCCAAAAGCAAAGTTGATATGCGTATACAGACCGATAGGGATCTGTTCAGGCGAGAAGACCTCACAAGGTCGGTCTCTGGCCCAGCCTTCGAAGTAGCCGACGACGCGTTCCATTTCGCCGCCCTTCTCACAGCTCGGACGCTTAACTGTCTTGCTTCCACAGAAATCCTTGGTTGTCTATGGGTTACCTGTCAGTACATTCTCGGGGTAGCATCACTTTCATTTACTTACACCGCAGTATCCATGCTTCGAGCAGCAGACATTCAGAGGGCACTTGTCTTTCGTGGCCCAACTGCTGCCAAAACCGGGATTGCACTCTGACTTTCTGTTACAGTCAGAACGGCAGACGGATTCTCCACAATCTTGCTTTAGTTAGCATCTGGCAATCATGTAGAGAAAGCATGTTGGTGTCCTTACAATCGGGGCCAAATCCACAGTTGCCAGACTTGTTGCAGCATCCCTGCTCACACCTCTTGGTTGCGCTGCAGGTCGTGCTGTCGGCTGCTGCTATGCCTCTGCATAGCAGCAGCAGCACAGCGAAAAACAAGACGCGGAAACGCATCTTGGTCTTGTTGAAAGGGACAGGTAAGCCCGAAAGAACGTCTTGGAAAGAATAGTCAATCACACTAAAGTTGAATTGGTGACTGGGAAGAATGTGTTGCGAAACAATGCAATATCTTTGCTGGAACCAAACGTCCTGGTAAGGGAGTAGTTTGGAAGCGACAGCTTAGTTGTCGTAGAGATGACCTAAATTCAAAACCAGTTGGCTTGAGCTGTTAACTAGATACAGTCCCTTGACCAAGTCCTTTTTCCTACACAAGCGGAAAAAAGTATGAACCAGACCCACGATCAAAAATCCAGGGTCCAAGAATCCATCACTACCAGGGCTGACTCGCTGGAAAGTTACCTCACCCTGTCGATCATGGGTTGGGCTGGGCATCATCTCTCCCGGCCCGTCTCACCGCATCGGACCTTTTCACCAACGCAGCGTTGCATAGGTGAGGGCGGGGTCTTTTTAGGAACAGGGTAGCATTGCACCACTGCGGCTCTATTTTTGCTGGAACCAACAGCCCGGGATCCTTACAATTCATGGCACTTTAGAAATGGACATGGTCATAGATCCACCTGTTGGTTCTGTAGAAAAACGTAAAATGCTTGGTCTTGGCATCTAGATGGTAAGAAAAATCACGCGTCCGTTCCTGACCGTTGTCTAGCTTCTTACAAAAGGTCTCATATCATCGCCACTTTGCCATTGATCAAAGTAGGATCCTTGCAAGTCATGGCACTTTAGAAATGGACATGGACATAGATCCACCTGTTGGTTCTGCAAAACACGTAAAATGCTTGGTCTTGGCATCTGGATGGTAAGAAAAATCACGCGCCCGTTCCTGACCGTTGTCTAGCTTCTTGCAAAAGGTCTCATGTCATCGCCATTCCGCCATTGACCAATGCAGGATCTGTTCAGGACGCGGGAGATCGGATATGTAAGGATGAGTTCTCTTGTGCCTTGTGTATCTACTCCACTTGATAGACTCTGCCGAGGCTAGCCATCGATCGACGTGAGGCCCTCGGCTTGGCTTGATTCAGGGTCTGTCTTGGGTCCCTCATTTTTGGACGTTGTTCTAGTTATTCTATCTACTCGCCTGTCTCATTTACTCGCTTGCTCATTATTGAGTTCACCAAAAATTCAAAGGACGACAATGGTTGCCATTAGCCGTCTTGTCCCTCTGCTGGGCTTGTGCCTTGGTGCCAGTACCGCGTTCAGTATCTACAATGCTACGGATCTCGAGGCCAAAAATGTCGGCGATGCGTGTGTCGAGGCCTTGTCGGCCAACATTGCTTGTCCAACAGCTATACGCCCCTTCATGGCACCGCGTGTTCATGCGTCGCTTCGAAATGTCACCTTGACAGATGAGATTTGCACTGGAGCCTGCTCTGCATCTCTCAGGAAGTGGTTCAACACCGTCGTCAGCGCATGCGCAAACGAAGATTACGGAGACGGCGTCCCCCAACGCGTCGGCGGCTACATCTGGGCTGGCTGGAACGAGACTTGCATCAAAGATCCTAGGACTAAGAGATACTGCAATGGTGAGCTTCGCATATGAATCAGCAACAGGAACATGGCTAACTGATCAGACATCATCGACGAGTTCACAGAGTTGGAAGACGACGAGGAAATGCCCCGCGACGAGCTCTGCAGCGTCTGCTACGGACGAAAGCTCGCTATGATGCAGTCCTCGTCATACTCGGTTTACAATCGCTACTACCAGTCAGAGCTGGAGAAGGTATACAAGACATGCGGTGGCTCTGGCCCGACCGAAATTCCTCCGCCTCCCAAGGTCGAGGAGTCTGTGGATTTCTGCCTGACCGAAAAGTACTACACCACAAAGGAAGGCGATACGTGTGACTCGATAGCCAAAGCAAACCCAGGCGTCGCTGGTGTCTTCTTGTATATGGGTAATCAGGAACTCATCGCCGACTGTCGCACAATTCCTGCAGGTGTCAAGCTCTGCCTTCCCACGACGTGCCCGACGTACGTGGTAAAGCCAGACGACACGTGCTGGTCCATCGAGCGAGCGCAAGGCCTCTACATCGACGACGTCGAGTCATTCAACTCATGGATTAATATCGACTGCAGTAACCTTCACAAGGCTACCGACTTTTACGGCAAAACCATCTGTATCGGGGCTTTTGGCTCCGAGCACGCTGGCTCCTGGATCCAGGATGAGGATAAGGAAGCCAACGTCGCTAGCCCTGCCCTACAACTCCGGCATAGCAGCGCCAACGGCCCTGTACCTAAGCCCGAAGCCCCTGAGGAATGACCTTTAGCAGTCAATTGCGTCTCGAAGCCTGAGACAAGCCTTTACTTGTTGGAACCGTAACCATTTGACAAACTGTTTCTGTGGAACAATTTCTCTACACATAGCATAGTCAATTGTAGTTAGTATCTTTCGTGTCAATTGCTAAAACAAACAATTTGGGTATCGTGACTTCCATAGCTAGCTACTGTGTTCAATTATCTTGCAACAAGCTCTGTTGCTAGGGTTCCACAAGTACGTGAGATCATCCTTGTGGCCGCCGTTAGTGATCAGCGACATGACGCATCCTAGCCGCAGTACACTAGATAATCCTTTGCGAGCCAGTCGCCACAAGTCATATGGATCATGCCTGAGTCGTAGAAATGTTACGATAATTAACCTCGGCACAGCCCAACTCTCCCTGGCATCCTAGAACCAACAGTCGTCAGTGGGGAAAGTGGTGCGCTGGGGCCAACCCAGGGCAGGGAGTACTTGTTCGGCAAAGCCGCCAACAAAGAGTGTCAACTCTAAAGTCTAATATTATTAGGCTAAAATAGTGTCTACTCTCGGTATGTACATGCTTGTGGCCCACGGAGTGGGTACAACAAACCTTGTGTGATTTACAATTTTACTCTGCATAAGATGGTCAAAGCCTCTGAAGCCCTTGTCGAGCCGGGGAAAACCTCCCTTGGCAAAGACGGAACGTTACCCGCCAGGAGCAGAACTCCACTATAGTCGTTTATGTAGTTACATGGTGTTCGGTGGATTCCATCATGTCCGCCCGAGCGAGCGAGAGACCGAATGCCCAGAGACCAGGTGCCAATTGCGGAGACGATATATCCGTGTGATTTGTTTGCCGTGCGAGAGCATCCCGAAAACGAACAGCCTTGATTTGATAAAAGTAACTGGACCCATTTGGGGGTCACTCTCGGTTGCAAAACAGGTAGTTCGTGTCTGTTGGCTCGCTCGACTTTCGTAAACGGGCCATCTACCTAAAGAGGCAAGCGTAAAAAGAACACGACGGACATGGCACGACCCGATCTTGTAGACAATGTGTATAACCCGTATTTAACCGCCAGTCACATACTCCCCAAGTTCACTTGTTCCTTGTACCATCGCCGTCTGTCAATCTTTTTGCATAGACCTGGTGATCCCTTCACGATGCGCTTCTCTTCCATTATCACCCTGGGTCTCTTGACCACTAGTGTTTCTGCGGTAAGAGGCAGAAGATTTCGTCGTCAGAAGACGCCTGAAAACCCTACCGACCCAGGTATCACACCGAAATGCACCTTTTATGATACATGGGTCGATGATGACCTCGACTGTCTTTTGTGGCTCGAGGACTGGTCTATTACACCGGAGCAGTTCTCGGAATATGTGAGTATTCATTCTATTTACCAGCTGTCTTTGTGGTTCCCGTGACTTATCTTTATATTCCGTCTTCAGAACCCGACTATTGGCGATAACTGCTCCGGCATCAAGGTTGGCTACTCCTACTGTGTCGAGATCAACTCCGGCCTTCCTGAAGAGCCCGAGATGACTTCAACTGAGGACGCTGAGCCTGAGCCCACTGAGGATTCGAAGCCTAGCCCTACTCAAGACGGGCTCATCGACACATGCACATCCTTCTACAAGGCTGCCAAGGGAGACACTTGCACCAAGATCATTGCCAAATACAAGACGTTTGACTTTAATGACTTCTTCAAGTGGAATCCCGCCGTGGAGGAGGATTGCAGTGGCCTCTGGGCCAACACCTACTACTGTGTAGGCGTCCCTGGAACTCCCACCAGCCCTCCTTCTCAGACTGCCGCGACTGAGACGGCCGTGGAGACCGGTCCATCGAAGCCCAGCCCTACGCAAGAAGGTCTCATCAAGAGCTGCACCTCTTTCTACTTCGCTACAAAGGGCGACACTTGCGCCAAGATCGTGGCTAAGTACGGCACCTTCGACTTTGATGACTTCTACAAGTGGAACCCGGCCGTGGGCAAGGACTGTGGCGGCATTTGGGCGAGCACCTACTACTGTGTAGGTGTTCCCGGGACACCCACCACCAAGCCTGCTCCAACTACACCGAAGCCAACTGCAACAGGCGGCATCGAGACTCCCTCACCAATCCAAGAGAACATGGTGAAGAACTGCAACAAGTTCCATAAAATCATGTCCACCACGACGTGCTCCTCAATTGAGTCATACTACAAGTTGCCGCTTGCAACCTTTCTGTCATGGAACCCTTCCGTTGGCAAGGATTGCAGTGCTCTGTGGGTCAACTACTATGTCTGCGTGAGTGTCGAGGGATATCAGCCCTCTACGACAACCGCCAAACCCACCACGACCAAGGCGCCGACAAATGGTATCGAGACCCCCTCGCCGATCCAAGACGGTATGGTCAAGAACTGTAACAAGTTCCACAAGATCATGTCAACAACCACTTGCTCCTCAATCGAATCGTATTACAAGCTGCCGCTTGCGACCTTTCTCTCCTGGAATCCTTCTGTTGGGAAGGACTGCACGGCATTACTAGTCAACTATTACGTTTGTGTGAGCGTCGAAGGGTGGACGCCGCCTACTACAACAACCAAGCCCACCACAACCACTCAGGTGCCAGCCAACGGTATTCAGACCCCTTCACCCATTCAGAATGGCATGGTCAAGAACTGTGAAAAGTTCCACAAGATCATGTCAACGACCACTTGCACGTCTATCGAGTCATACTATAACCTCCCTCTCGCAACCTTCCTCTCGTGGAACCCCGCTGTCGGAAAGGATTGCACATCGTTGCTGGTCAACTACTACGTCTGTGTTGCCACCATCGGCTGGAAGCCCCCCACCAAGACCACGACCAACGTACCTACAACCACAAAGGCGCCCTCGAATGGAATCTCCACGCCTTCGCCGATTCAAGCTGGCATGGTCAACAACTGCAACAAGTTTCACCTCGTCAGTTCGACCACCACCTGCACATCCATCCAGAACTACTACAAGATCACCATGGCAGACTTTGCCAAGTGGAATCCTGCAGTCGGGTCTAAGTGCACTGCCCTATGGGCCAACTACCACGTGTGCATTGGTGTTATCGGCGGAACCCCCACCAACCCAGGAAACGGTGTTTCGACTCCCTCGCCGATCCAGCCCGGCATGGTTAGCAACTGCAAGAAGTTCCATCTCGTTTCGAGCACAACCACGTGCGCTTCGATTCAAAAATATTATAAGATCACGATGGCACAGTTTGCCAAGTGGAACCCGGCGGTCGGTGAGAAATGCACAGCGTTGTGGGCTCAGTATCATGTGTGTGTTGGCGTCTAGTTAGGTAAATGACTTGTTTTAAGCCATGTAGTACTCATATTTGAGATTAATAATTAATCTAATTATGTGTATCATTTGCATTAAGGCCACTTCCGTAAACGAACGCTTTAAAACATGCTAAAGTAACCAGCTTGAGTGCCAGATCTGAAGGTTAACTATGTTTACTATTTAGAACAAACGAAAGCATCTACGGGTTAAACCGAGCTGGCCCCCCGTATAAACTACTACACTGCCAATGCTTACAGAACGAGCTTCGCAGCCGGTGCAACTTTAGTTATATTCTAAGGTGCATTTATCAACAAGTTATCTTACCTAGATCCTTGAGTTACTTTCTTCTTTTCTTCGGTAAATACATACTAAACTACTTATATAAAGATAGTGCTTTCTAAAATATTTACATAACCCCGTTTTAAGAAAATAAATAAAACAATAGGTTTGAAACTAAGTAAGTAATATTAAGAGCTTCGCTGTCTAGAGCGTGGCAATTAATTACTTAAAATATAGTTAAAGTAGATAATATACACCTAAACGATATTACATTAACAGAAATTCTTCTTCTTAAAAGCTTCATGACTTTCCCTTTTTGCTCGCTTTCATATTCTAAAACATCACGCCATTCTCCTCATCCTTATATCTCTAGCACAGCCTTTGCACGCTACTATTAGCCTCTTTATTGGAACGCAATGCCAGACCTGCAGAGGGTTCTAGAGGGGCTTGAACAGTATCCCTCCGATACTGACAGCCCTATTTACCCTCTTGAGGAGCTCCAACCGCCCGCTAATTGGGGATTCACTATCTACCGCACCTATTATGGTCCTTCTTCCGATGACAACTGGAACAAACTGCTGGTCGCTACAAAGAAACATGCCGAAGAGGAGCTTATGACATATGACGACGATGAGGCAATCGAGAAGCTCAAAGAACTTTTCCGTTTGGACGCCCGGTCTGACCCCTCTCTGTTGAGCGGTTTAGATCGAAAGGCCCTGTGCCAAATCTACCATGAAGGCAAGGGTGGAAAGCCCATGCCTGAGAAAGAAGGCTTCGTCTTCTTACTTGCCGATGAAGACGTGCTCAATCAAGTTGGAGAGGGTACCTTCATCGTCAAGGCGGTCGACGCTGAAGAAACGCCGCGGGAGGAGATTCCTCTACGAGAAGATGACGACGAACCAACGTACTGGGGCTGGATGAGAATGGAGACACGCCAGCTTCTGGAGTTGTGGGGCGAGCTTGAGTGGTTCCGAGGTTTTGATTGCATGGCCTGGACGGTCCATCAGGCGGATCTTGACGAACAGGTGTGGGAAGGGAGCGATGCAGATTAAGTGCTGGTATTTGGACAACTAGCTAGTATAGCTTAGCTATATGGATGTGTCTAACTGTCAGAGATAATTTAATAAACCGCACAACTCTCGATTATTGAAGTGGAGGTTGCCTGAAGCGTTAGGTTAATGATGAATCTCATCATGTCCATCTTTAAGATTGACGTCTGGTCTAAGAAGGTTGATATCCGATAAAGGCATGGCATATGCCCCGCTATTACGCCACTCCCGTGCGCCACCGGCTACATCCGTGGCTGCGGTTCGGGCCGTGCTAGCGGCCTTACTTAATCCTCCGGCTTCGGATCGCCAGTTGAGGAGGAAGACCTAGATTCTACCAAGCAACATTACTTGGATGCAATACGACCGTTTCCGCTATTAATATTAACATTCCATTGAGCTATGAGCACTCATACTACTCCAGCCACGCTCTTATTGTTAATCTGCGATTCCGCCTTTATCTTAGCCTGAGAGTAATTAGCCGCCCCATAAGAATAGGCTCCGGTACTTTCTTGCTTGATCAAGGCCTGGTCCAACTCTTTTATATATTTGTCACAGATCACAGACGAGGGCAGCAGGTTGACATCTCAGTGGCTTTGGAATCTACCCTTTTTAGGAATAATTCCTCTAAGACTGTCGTCCCTTCTCAAGCACGTACCCTACAGCGATATGATTCCCATAATAGAAAGAGGGTTGTAAGAAGTCACAACGCAAGGGTCTTTTTTGAAGTTCTCTTCGGAGGATTGGCAATTTAGACGAATAAAGGGAGCTGAGCGAAGACGGGCTGTCTCGGTGTCGTCGGACTGGAAAGTGAGCACCGTCGTTTTTCCTCGGCATGAAAGCTAGAAAAGAAAAGGCCCGGGTTGTCGAGCCCGTCGCTAATCACAACGGGCGAGTCTTTTAAAAGCGTTTCGTTTGGTTTCTACGAAAGAGACAGAGCTGAAACTCCGAACAGTCAAGATTAAAGTTAATTAGGTAGATATTTATTCCTATCTTCGCAGCATTGCTCCCTTGAGGTTTATTATTTTGAGATGACGTCATCGTCAGCCACATTATAAAACCCATAACGCCACACAAGTTCTCCCAGGTTGGGTGGCTTCGAAGGTCTTATGCTTGAACTTGCATAAGCCGAGTTGTGTATTGCGCATAACTTCACTAATTCGGCACAGGCGTATCAAGGATCGTGTAGTTTATGCCGACGTTAACTCGTTGCCACAACAGGCAACGTCCAGTACCGAGCAGTCTTTATCGTTTAATAAAATACCTTTTGCGAGGGAACCTATCAATGACTTAAATATTGTTGAAATGCTGGTGTAAATATAGCATTGCCTATAGATGGCGAGCAGTTTGCTTTCAGCCCTCAATGCGAAAGATGGTGGCGACTACAGGACGAGGCTCTCCAACCACTAATCACCAGCACATGGAATTGCTTCGACTCCGAGGCAATATAGCTATGCCTAAGCTCCTACGCCCATCTTGATAGACCTGACACTGTTGGCAAGAAAGCCACCAGTCGAGTGTACCGCTCCAAGAGACTTCAAACCACATACAGACGCCGTCATCTGTATTCTCAGCACACTCATCTGGGTTCTCGGCCAAGATCTCAACCCGAGCCACATAAGGACACTCTTGGGCAGTTGTCGTGAACCCAAGGTAGAGCTTTTGGGCGTCTTTCGGTATGAGGGGTGTGTCGAGGTGGTCAAGACGGACTTGACCCAAGGTTGCTGATCTGCCATCAGAGTAGAGGAATAAAAGTCCCGAGATCTCATTCTTTTGGCGACATGGTCTCACCTCCCTGACATCTTCAACGGATGCACTGGACCAGAAAAAAGAATCCAATGAGTCAATTCCAGGGTGAGGCGAAGATGGTTGTGGAGGGGCGAAAGTCAGGGCTTGCGCTGGTTCCTGAGACTCGAAGCAGAGGGCGCGAGTGCAAGTTGGATGTGTATCAAAAAAGAAGTGTCCAGGTTCCCCATTAGGGGCATCTAGAAGAGACCATTTACACCAGGGAAAGTCCCGATCCGAAGTCGCTCCAAATAATAGTGTTCGTCCTTGGTTCGTCTCAAATGCAAGAGCCAGCTCCCTTTTGCCAAAGTCTGGGTTCCCAAGGGCCTTGAGCGTATCCACCATCAATGTGAGATCCGGGAGTTGCCATTCTGAACCACGTTTGGAAGCTCGCTTCCAGATACGCACAATGCGTTCATTCTTATCTAGTGGTGTGTAGATCCAGAATGATCCTTCGGGGGCAGATTGATAGAAAGATAAGTCCTCGTCTGGCACGTGAGCGTGGAAGGAGACGGGAGAGGGATTGCAGCAGATGGAGAAGCCAGTGATCCCTGGATGATTATATTGGTATAAGGACATCCGATACAGCGATAGACTAGAGGATTTAGTGAAGGCGACATATCGATGCGTAGCCGCAGGGGATCGTGGAATTGAGAACGCGTTGCGATTTAGGTTGACGACTTGTCCAGACTCGTTTTTGTATGCGAGTCCGGTTAACTTAATGCCCTTTGAGCTCTCGTTAGCTGTATTGTTCGGAGGGTTAATACTCAGTCTTCATACATCATAGTAGCATTCCAGACTCCCATTTTGGTCACTGAGCGGGATTGTTTCCCACCACACTCCCGGGGCGGGTTGAATCGTTGGAATGTTATCAGACTTAGCAAATATTAGTTTCAGAACGCCCTCGAAGCCTATTGTTATGTAGAGGGCCTTGGGAGGAACCCAGCTGTCAGGTACGTCGGACCGGGTTTTCAGCTCCTTGACGTAAGTCACCCCTTCAAACGTAACGTAGCTTTCTTCAATAGGAGCCGCAACCTTTACTGACGAGGTTGACGACGATAAGTGACCAAGCGACATACGTCTTAATATAGCATACTCTGGTAGTAGTCTCTGCGCTATATTTGCCCGGACTTCCGCTGGCAAAGGCAGATAGACCTCAAATGCTGCAGTTAGGTGCTTTTGGATCCAGTGACGCCGGGCTTTACATGTGCTGTGCCAAGCCCCAGAAGAAAAGCTAGACACTCGTCCAGGGGTGCAAATTCGTACACAAGAGGCATGATAACACGGGCTCCGATTGAGTTGGTAGCAACTGTCTCTGCAGCCAAAGAACTCGTGATCATCTTCAAGGCCGAAAAAGTTGCTCGGGCGATATTGAAGTCGCCATTCCCTCAAACCCCACACTGACTCAGGTTAGCTTTCTACGATTAACAGACAAAGTGATGCAGAAACTGCTTGACTTACTGACTATGACATCATCTTTGTCTCGAAACTCGAAATGACAGAGACCACATCTCGGCTGTACACAGCAACATGCCCTTTTTGTAATGGAAGTCATGAAGAGAGGCGAGGATGCGATAGAAAGGCCTATTGACTCCGAAAGACGGAACAAAGTCAGCATTAATCAAGTGGGGGGTGCTTGGATATTTATAGCCATGTGAGGGACAAGCCATAGACGGATATACGGAACATCATGCACCCGCCTCTATCTATACGAAGAATGGTACGATTATTATTCTCTGCCACGATGACAAGAAGCGATCAGCCACAACAAAAGCCGCAGTTGTTAATGCATAACGCCATCAAACCACAATACCGCAAAGCACCGTAACTTAAATATGATGGATGCTGCAGGGCCCCGTTTGCACCAGTAGCTTGAGTTGAGGCGGTGTCACAAGATTGAACATAACTCTCAGATTGCAACAAAGGTCAGCGTACTAGTCTAGCGGCTTTTCTAACCGATTGTAATGTCCTATGAGGTAAAGTGATCCTAGCCTGAGCATATTGGAGCAACCTTCTTTCCCTACTTGAATAGTCGCGCCAAGCGCCTGGGCATTTTTAGTCTAGATTAAGATCGTGTCTTTTTCTACTTTAGGCTGCAATTTTCACATTTCTGTGGTTGCTCATACAATATCTGTGGAGGGGAACCGAAACTTTCCAAGGACTCTATCTTCCATAGGTGTTCATAGCAAGGATAGGCACAGCCTTACCCGACCGTAGGTGAAAGAGTCCTCTCAGGTGGAAAAGGTGACATCTTACACTGCGAGACCCACCTTTCTACTATCAAGTTTCTATGATTAAAGAAGCTTATTTAAATCTTAGGTTTACGCTGTTTTGCAGCATTAGGTTTGACTACTGCTATGTGTCATATATCCTTTGTTTAGGGTATGGCGAATACGTCATTGTAAGAGTAGGAGACTAGGGGAAAAACTTACAAATAGCGATGAAATATTGATGTTGGTCATAGAAAGCGGCGTGGTGGAAAACACTACAGCGTATTGAGGAGAATGTAACGTAACCTGCGGCAGATATTAAGCGTATCCATGCCAGCGTTTCGGCTGTGGAGAGCGGCTATAAATCCGACTTGTTTTTGCCCTCCTAGGATATTAGTATGGGGTGCAAGCTTAAGGTTCAACGCTCGAGGCAGATCATTACTGTTCCGAGGTCGTTGATCGGAATTCGGCATGATAGCGTTGACACAATACGCGCAGAAAGTGATGTTTGTCGCACCTGTCCCTGATATAGAAGGCGAACCATAAAATTCCTGCCAGTGAGCGATAAATGAAAATCTGAAATAGGCAAAACACGACGTCGGGTGCCTGTCATCTCTCCACAACAACCTCCACACACACCGGGGCGACCGCGATGGTAACAGGAACTTTTTCGGCGACAGCTCGGTCGTCTTGCCATTATTTACAGAGGTCGTATGCTGTTGGTTCTGTTTGATGGAGATTTTCTGTCGAAACCCTGCCTTTGTTGGTTCAAGGTCTATGGTGTATATCCGGAGGGTATGGCGACATCGGCCGAAACAGAGGACCCCTTGCCACTGTAATGATAATAAATGGGGAGGAACGCCTGGAGAGGGAAGGCATCGAAGAGACATTAAGCTACTGTGGTCGGCAGCGCATTAAAAAGACAAGTGAACAACAAATGGGTAAGCTGATATCAACCAGTTTAAACTTGTTCTGGGAACACTTCTAATCAATCTCATAGCGCTCCCCACACAGCCCCAGGAGGGTGAAACCCCGTCGCTCTCGCCCGACAGAACCCACGACTCGGCCGAAAGCCACCCCAAGGCACCGTCCATTAACTATGAAGCCAAGAGTCTACCCGCCGGGGATATAGACCCTGAGTATCCGGCCCCTAGCCCCGAAGAACAACACAGCTTGCGAAAGGTGGCAGGCCGTATTCCCTGGTCCTCCTACCTACTCTGCATCGTAGAGTTGGCAGAGCGAGCCTCATTCTATGGCGTTAAAACTGTGTTCAACAACTTTATGCAGTTTCCGTTACCAAAGGGTGGTAATGGTGCTGGTGCTGTGGCCAAGAATGATCCAAACGGTCACGCTGGTGCCTTGTAAGACAACCCCAAAATGGCGTTATGTTACTTAACTGACTGGATCTATCTACAGGGACCGAGGCCTTCAGTTCGCTTCAGCCATGGTACTACTCTTCAACTTCCTTGCATACATCATCCCCATCTTTGGCGCATGGCTAGGAGACACGAAAACGGGCCGTTTCAGAGCCATCATGTACGGCGTCATTATCGGTGGTTTCGCTCATGTCATCCTGGTTGGTGGTGCAGCCCCCTCTGTTCTAAAGGCAGGCAACGGTCTGGCTCCTTTTATGATCAGCTTCTTCCTTCTCGCCATCGGAGCTGGTTTGTTCAAGCCCAATGTCGTTCCTCTCATCGTGGATCAGTACACGCACCAAAAAGAGTACGTCAAGACGCTCAAGTCGGGTGAGCGCGTCATCGTGGACCCCGAAACGACGGTACAGAGAATCATGTTGATCTTTTACATGTGCATCAACGTTGGTGCCTTTTTTATGATTGCCACGACATACATTGAGAAGTACGTCGGCTTCTGGCTCGCCTTTTTGCTGCCGGGCATCATTTACATCCTCCTCCCTGTTCTCCTATTGTGGCGATACAAGACGTTGCGCAGGACACCACCTCAAGGATCCGACTTGAACAACTTCTTCAAGATCATCGCTATCGCTACCAAGGAGAACAAAGGAAAGCTTTGGGCCAAGGACTTTTTCCACTCAGCCAAAGCCTCAACTCTTGCAACAAAAGGTACCAAAGTCGCATGGAACGACAAAGCTGTTGATGACGCTCGTCGCACACTTTCGGCCTGTCAGATTTTCCTCTACTTGCCGGTCTTCTTTCTCAATGATGGTGGTGTCGGTGCTGTGGCATCCAACCAAGGAGCATCCATGACCAGCAAGGGCGCACCCAATGATCTGCTTCACAACTTCAACCCCTTGACGCTCATGGTGGTTGCTCCAATCATGACATACATCTTGTATCCATTCCTCCACCGACGCCGCATCAAGTTTGGGCCCATCAGCCGTATGACGTTCGGGTTCACTCTGGCCACCATTTCGGGCGTCATTGGCACAATAGTGCAATACCGAGTGTACGAGACCTCGCCTTGTGGCTACCACGCATCCACCTGCGATGATGTTTCCCCCGTCTCCATTTGGTGGCAACTGCCCAATGTCATGCTCGGCGCCATCGCTGAGCTGTTCTGTACTGTCACCGCATATGAACTTGCATATGCTCGGGCACCTCCTGGCATGAAGTCTATCGTTGTCGCTATTTCTTTGGCTATGCAGGCTTTGTCAGCGGCACTCGCACAGATCCTAATCCCGGCGATCGTAGATCCTCACTTGATTGTAAGTCTTATCCCACGGTCAACTAATAGATATGCTAACAATGTCTTGCAGTGGGCTTGGGCCGCTCCAGCCATTGTCCTCTTTGTCCAAACAGTCGTCTTCTGGTTCCGCCATCATCACATCAACGACGAAGAGTTCATGACATACGAAGAAAACAGCGACTCTTCGGCGGAAGAAACCAGAAAGGAAGGAGTCAAGGATTCAAAAAGTGATATCGTGTAAAGAGCTTTGATCAGGTCTCGGCCCTCGTGAAGCCAGCCACGCAGGACAGTGGCTTGGGGAGCACAGGGTCTAGGTAATGGTCGAAAGTTGTGATCATAGGTACTGTGATAGTTACTGTCAAAATAAACCCCAAGTCTTAAACAAGTTGGTGATGATGCCAACGTCTTGGTCGTGAAGTAGATTGTCTATAGGTGCAATCATGGCGTTTCATCTCCCAGTGACATCTAATATTCTGCCTTCAAAAGTTCAAAATTTTCCTATTCCTCTATAAAATTCACATAAAGGCTAGACTAACTTAGCTCTCTTCGCCACCACAGTCACTCCGGCACCCACAGCAACCGCCCCGACAAACCAAGGTAGAGCCACCTTCAACCCCTCAACAATATGCGACTTGATCTTTGCAGTAAGCCTAGCCCTGAACTCTGCTCCCTCATTAACTCGAGGAAACTCGACATCAGGGACTGGTTTTCCCAAAAATTCACAGATTGGATCCCATCCTTCTCCCATATGATAAAGGAGCAAATTCTCAGGTGGCACCATCTCCTTCAGCTCTCGATAGTGTCGGTCGTATACCATACGCACATTCTTGCGCGCCTCGTCCACATTCTTAGCCTCGAAGAATCCCAAAATCGCCTTCCTGGCGGCCTGGCCCGTCTCGGATCCAATGAGCGGCTCGGCGTAGTTGACAGCCAGATCAGCCGGAAAACTCCACACTTGATCAAAGATGCCACTATAGCTCGCATACCACTTGTCAAAGTCCCGGACGACAAGGATAACCTTAGCTTCGGGGTAGACCTTGACAAGCTGCGTCGCAAACAGAGCTGCCATGTCGGTACCGGCCTCGCAGGTGCCGTAGAGCTCATCCCACTCTTCGCGGGAAAATGACTTCCCAGTGTATGTTGGCAGAACGGGAAATGTTGCGTCCGCGGCTCGGTTGATGACTTTCCAGTCGTCGAGTTTGTCGATGGCCTTCATTCCGTGGTGAACATTTTGGTAGCCCAGCATTTCCAGGGCTTCGGCGATGGAGGCAGATCCAGTGCGTGGAAGACCCAGCGCGAGAACCTTCATCTCTCGCTTCGGTTCGGGTGATATCTTCAAGTCGGTCATATTGGAATCGTCGTGGTTTTAGTCTCGTGGTGGTTGTGGTGACTCCTCTTTTTACAGGGAGCGGGGATAACGGTTTGTGATTCCGGACAGTTGAGAGATTGTGGGTTTTGGGGCGAGAACAACGTCGTCTCCTCGAAGCGAGGGTCTTGCATGATCATGCTATCTACAGGACGAACCTGAGTGGCTGGATGTTGGTTCCTGGAGCAGGGTGGTGCCACAGAATACAAGGGTTGGTTGGTTGGTTCAGCCTGTTGCCGACTTCTCGGCTGAAGTCTTTTCGGGCCATCGCATCTTAACAACGGTTGCGCAATCCGGGGAGCGTCGGCGCCTCTATCAGGGTTATCAAACGAGTGTGGGGTGCGGATCGTATCAAATAAGTGCCTAGGATAAGATCAAGGCACAAATGCAACCATGATCATGCTTGGCTGTTGGTTGTTTGGGGGCTCCAAGTGTGCAGTTGTTAGCGCAACAACTTGAACGTCATTCCTACCAAAAGATCCATTCCAACGAGATGAAGAGCAAATAATCACGGGCGGGGTAACAATTAGTGATTTCTTGATGACAAATTGAGACTTGATAACCACTATAGCCAAGTCATGCAAGCTCGCGTTGAGGCCAAAAAAGGCAATTCTCTTAGCTCAAGGTGGAGCATGGCTGCATCAAAGCTTAGAAATTCCATGCATCTTTCTTTAATGTAGTTTATTATAAATATGACTTAAGATCTACAGCTAAGGACTCTTGCAAGTTGCTCCAATATCTCTCTCTCTCTCTCTCTTCAAGATGGCGAAACTGTCTGCAATTGCCGTTGCCGGGTCCGGCGACATCGCCCGCTACCTGGCTGAGGAATTTGTTCGTGATGGTCAGCACGACTTTCACATTATCTCCCGCACAGAGCGACCTTGGTTTTCTGAACTTGGTGTTCAATTCCATTTGGTTTCAAGCTATTCAAAGGAGAACATGGTCGAGCTGTTTGACAAGTTCGAAATCAGCACCGTCATCTCGACTCTTACCGCAGGCGACGCCCCAGCATTTGTCTCTTTACACCAGGACATCTTGGATGCGTGTCACCAATCCTCAAAATGCAAACGCTTAATCCCCAGCGACTTTATTGGTAATGTCGAACGCTTCCCCGACCTTCCTAGAAGACACGCCGATTCCCGTCACGCGTTTCGTAAAATCCTTGCCCAGCAGTCAGAAGTCGAGTGGACCACGGTGAACCAAGGCTGGCTGATGGATTACTTTGCCCACCTTCCGTCAGGCCAAAAAACCTACATCCGCCCCTATTCAGCCTGGCCACTCAATATCGGAAAAGCAACTTGCCGAATTCCGGGAACCGACGATGACAAAGTTACTTAGACATCGGCGAGGGATCTCAGCAAAGCGGTTGTGCAACTTGTCAAACATCCAAAGTGGGATCGGTACACTTATGTCTATGGCGAGACGGGAACATGGCTTGAAGTGATTCCCAAAGTTGAAAAGCTGTTCAACATTAAAATTGAGGTGTGTAGAGAATTTCTATCGCGACATTTCTGACCACTAACGACAGCAGCGTACTCCCATTTCCCGTGAGGAGATCGACAAGATAGTTGAAGATGGATCGGATCCTGAAAAACAGTATATTGCAAGCATTGATGAGTGGACAGTTGCTGGGGCAGGCTTGGTTCCGATGGACGTTGCTGAGAAACAACGAGCGAAGTTTTTCGGGGATGTCAAGTTTCGAACCATTGAGGAGTTTATACGGGAGGCTCAAGTTACCGAGTTTGTTTAGTTAGTAGCGTTGTCTAACCCTCAATAATAATCTATGAGCTCAATGGCTGGGATCAGTGGTGGGGGGTGTGAATGAGGATGCACGATGTGATTGCAACACGGGCGATTAAAGAAAAGAACGAGATTGACTTTTCCCCCAACTAATAGATAATGAAAGAGAAAATATGGTAGTAATACCGAGTAGTTTAAGAGGTTTTTTTGGGGGGGGGAAATATTGTATTATTTCTAGTCTTTTATATGGCTACCTAATGTCAGCTGAGTATAACCGTGACATCCCTGTACCATGTCTTCTTTTCTTTCTCGGACCGCGTAGAGTACTTTGCCATTCAGGGCCTAACTTTGAAAGGATAGCGCGGCTTACGTCATAAAAAAAACTGTCCCAAGCTTGGCAGGCTTAAAATCTGTTCCTTGTGATAGGGGTCTGAGTCCCCGATTTGTTCGCCATTCAAGGACACCATTTCCTATCTACTTCCTTGATCAAAAGTGGACTCTCACTCTCTACTCAGTCATTATGGAGTCCAGGCGGAACAGCTCTCCCCTGTACCTCTCACGCAGTCCACAGCTTCATTGTGCCGATCAATGGCTCGATTGGTTCTTTGATCTCAGGAGCAAAGCACGCACCATCGGAATATGGGACAACATGGACCCATACGAGCCAGATGGTCCGGATGACGAACTCATTCTACCCAAAGCCAAAAGCTTTGTAAAGCTCAAGACTCGACTCATTAAAGATGCCCAGGACAACAACAAGCCCGACCCCTTGGACGCAGACATCTTACGCATGTACGATATCCTACTCCGAGAGACCGAAACCAAGCTAGCCATCTACCACGAAAGAGCTGTAAAAGAAGAAGCAATCCGAAACCTCATCATGGACACTGTGCACCCCGATATCTACGAAGCTGCCATGAATACGCTGCCCGGAAAGCACACCCTACGCCAACACATCAAATCTATCCAAGATATTTATGCACCGACCTCATTGTTTCTACAAAGTCGAGTCAATGTGGCGTATCGCGCTGTGTTGGACGAAGCACGGGCAGGGAACTGTGATCCAGAGGCGTGGGTTCACAAGTGGAGAAAGGCCTTCACTCGTGCTGAAGAATTCGGCTCCCCATATGTCCAAGGGCGCGAGGCAGTTTCCGATTTTTTGACGGCTGTAGATGCCTATTTCGCGCCAGGTTGGGGCTTGTCCACTTATGGGGACTACACTGACTCATTGGATAATGAGAAAGCCAACATGACCCTTCAGACCATCAGCCAATCATTCTTCTACTACATAAATGATATTCCTGCACGGTCTAAATTGGATACTCGTCACACCGAGAATGTCGCTCAAGCGCAAGTAATCAAGGTCGACATGTCTTGTCCTTGTGGGCGGCGGAATCACCCCTGGGAAGCTGAGGAGTGTTCCATTCTCGAGTTTGCCATCAGAGGGTATAAGGATGGTAGGACGAACAGCTTCTCACGAAAGAGGCGGAACGATATTCTGCGAGAACTCTGGAAGAATCAATGGGGGGACCTACGCCTGAGACTGGAAAAGAAGGGTTGGGATATCCCTGAGGCCGTGTGGCCTCGGGTCGAAGAGGGGCCATATTGGCTTGAATACCCGCCGCTGTACTAGGTAACTTAGCTCCAAATATTTAATTTGATCTGTATTTTCTTTGCACCCAGTTGCCGTCATTCTCCCGTGCTATGGTAGCTGAGATAAGCACAGCTCTGGCGAATACTTTGACATGTCAAAGAAACTTCTATAAAATCCGTGAGGCTCCGAAAGTTGGCACTTATCGATTCCAGGCAGGGCGCCAATACTCTCTAGCGGAAACAGCCAGAAGCCTATTGCGGGTCGCGGTGCCACGGCCAGTTCTTCTGGTGTCTCTTCCCTAGCCAACTCTTTGTATCTTTCGCGTTTCCACTTCAGAATGCCTTTCCATTCCTTGTCCTCATCTTGAACCCATTTTTCAGCATCCTTCCTGCTGCATATTTTTGGCAGGGATCGAGATTCGTGGCTGAGCAAAAAGCGGTAGTCAATACTACGTTCGCCCTCCTCTAGGCCGAGGCTCCTGAGTAGCTTGAACCAAGCAGAGACCACGCGATGCGGGAGGGAATGCCCGATATGCATCTTTTTCAGTTCTTCCTTTACCGGTCTAGGATCTGTGGGTAGCCTATCAAACCTAGTGACGGACGATGTGATTGGGACAGAGCGATTCATTTTGAATCTTCTGTTCCCAGGGTGTGCAAAGGCAACGGGGTAGCACATCCGCCAAACATAGCGCCTCTGAGAAAAGATGACCAGTTCCAGTCTGCGAATAACTTGCCGCAGTAGTGAAGATTGTGTTTCCTCGGACAAATGTAGCTCTTGCTCATGGGATTTTGCAGGTATCGAGAGGTTGACAAGACCAATGCGCCGCGGATCGTGAGCCCATACGTCGTGTGCGAAGTTTGCAAACGGTTTTGAAGTCTTAGAGCCATTCTCTTCCGTTTTGATCTCCAAAATGTCTAACTCGGGGCACAAGTAGAGAGTTCCATTGTTTTCGGCATTTTCAAACCACTCATATCGGCATGGTAGGCGAACTCGATAAAAAGACAGTGCGGCTCGTCGTGACTCCGAGGTGACACGAAACAGCTTGCTTATAGCGTGTCGCTCCTTCAAGACAATTTGATATCCATGCCCGGGCTCGAGTAGACCATGTTGGGTCTTTTCGCTGTTCTTAATCGACTTCTTCTCGCCTGTGGCGATTCTCTCCAGATTTATTCGCAGAAGACGCTCATGACTGAGTGCTTGTTCCCAAATCAGGTAGCGAATCTCAGCAGGGAGGCGGGGGAATAGCGGAAAGGTCTCAGTTGGTTGAGGGGTAGGATTGAAGATTTGCAAGTGCCTATTCGAGCTGTCTGTCGTTTTGACGGGCTCCATTTTGGTGTATATGGAGAGGAGTAGAGAAGCGAAAATTGGAGCATTGAGGGTCGAAAGACTGTCTTATGCAGGCACACAGGGGCGTTTAGGCTATGACTCACAGAGTCTAATTGTAAAGGTTATGGCTACACGCGGGTAGACTATCAGACGACGTCGCTTGATTAACATCGAGCTTTTGTTGAACAAGGTTTGTGAGACAGCATTTGTGTGGCTTTCGGGATCATCATCAAGCAGCAAGAGAAGAGATGGAACTCTGAGTTCAAAGGGGGATTTGGATCTGCAACTGCAATGATAGTGGACAGGGAAGACTTTTGTAGCAAAGAAAGTAGATGACATATTTGTTGAGCAGATATCTGACATATATTCATAGGCAGGTATCTCATGCATACACGAATTGGATAAAAATTAGTAGAAACTCTATAAACTATTAACTATGACTTTAACTCCTCTATGGTAATTGCAGATGCTAGTTAGTGTACAAAATGAATAACAAATATTGATGATGATTCGTAAGATAGCCATGGAGGGATATTAGATATCCACACCACTAAGATATTGTTGTAGATCAGATCAGACGCCCAGTCATCTACGCCTTCGGCTTGACGGACTGAGGGTTCCGGAAGATGTTCTTCGGATCATAAGCGGCCTTGATCTTTTGTAGCTTCTGCAAGTTGGATCCCCAGTACATCTCGGCAGCCCTGTCCGCCTTCAGCTGCGAGTCGGGGTAATTGGCATACATGCCCCAGGTGCCCTCGCGAAGAGACTTGGAGATGCTCTGGCGCAGGGTCGTAAGTAGGGAAAATCCGTCGCTGGGGTACTTCTGTCCCTGAGGCACGCTGTCGTAGAACTGGAAGAGCAGAAGCGCGTCGCGGTGGACGTAGGCCATATCTGTTGGCTTGGGCTTGGCCACGGCTGAGTACTGGCCACCTTGGATATCCATCTGGATCCACCAGGAGTGGCTGCTGCTTTTGCCTGTGGTGGAAACGGAGTTGACGAATGATCTGAACTGTTCTAGGGAGAGCTCTCGAGTGGTTAGGCTGGTAGCATAAAAGGTATCGTGCTATACTCTTGTCAGATCCAGATATTGGATAGAGGTGAGGAAGAGCTGACTTACAGCATTGTAAGAGGCACTGGTTGGGTTAATGTCTGAAGTGCCAGCAAAGTGGGTAACCAAGTCAATCCATCCAACAGTGGAGGCGCTGACTTGGACGTTGAGCTTGCTGAGAAGAGGTTGAAGAGCTTTTCGCAGACCGGCCTCATCGCCAACGTAGGCGCCATCAATGCTGTAACTGTCCTTTCGAATAGCCACCTGCATCGTAATCTCGCTCGGCATAGTCTTTCCAAACTCCTGCACGTCCCAAAGACCTTGAGCGGCGGTGTTTTGGTCCCAGTTTAGACCAATGTCGAAGTAGGTCATCTTCTCGGGGGCAGGGAATGTGTTGAATTCGAGCTCGGCGACAATTCCGAATGAGGCTCCAGCGCCTCTGATGGCCCAAAACAGATCAGATCGTTCAGTTTTGGAACAGTGGACGACCTTGCCATCATAGAGGACGACTGTAGCGCCAATGATCCAGTCAAGGGTCAAGCCATGCTTTCGCGAGACCATACCGTAACCGCCGTGCAAGGCATGTCCACCAAGACCAACACTAAGTATCATTAGCAAGCCTCCCGATTCATGAATAGTCATGGTGACCTACCCGGGGCATGTGCCATGAGAAAGAGCCCTCTTGCCCTGGTTGTACAACTCAGTGGCCACATGTCCAAGTCTTGCTCCAGGCTGGATCTTGGCAGTCCCATCCTTTGCCAGCTTCACGCTGTACAAGCGGTCCAGCTCGATCACAAGATGCCCGTCTTCTCCGCCAAGACCAAGCGAGGTGTAGCTATGGCCACCACTCTTCCCGCTCACAGAAACTCCATGCTTTGAGCCGCAGGCGACGGCAGCGGATATTTGAGCGACAGTGGTCGGGACCGCGATAGTAATTGGTTCAAATTGAAGTCGTAGGTTATATGCTGTACCATCCTGGGTCCAGGTCTGGCTGCCTTTGGTGTCGATGGGGACTTTGGCGTTGGTGAGACAGCTAGTGACGGCCTCTCGCTTGGTGGGGACGGCTAATGATGGGGAGACTAGGGCAGCAAGGCCAATTAGCCCACGGAGCAATTGAGAACGCATTGCGATTGTTTGAGATAGTTGAGGAGATGAGGAGTGAATGGAATGCAAAACGGCTGAGACCAAAATGATCCAGACCTATTTAATGTCAAGGCAATGGCGATAAACATTGGCAACGGGGCTCTGCCCCACAGATCGGCGCCTTACGAGAGCTTCCGTCTGCCGAAACCCGAACGGACGAGTCCGAAGATGGAGAATACGAGACGAGCTAGAAGTGAGGGCGCCGCCTCTTGATGACGAGAGACGGTGTTGAACTCGGCCGTATAGAGAGCTGCTACCACTGCAGGAGCCCGCAAGCCGTGAGTAGGAGAGAATGGCGATTTTCTCCTTCGAAAAGAAACTTCAATGACGAAAATTGAGATCTCATCTCGCCCTCACTGGCCTCACAGAAGGATTCTGATCAACGGGTCTTCCCAACTAGCGTCGATTAGTGGCAACTTTGCTCGTACCCGAAAGACCCGGCATGACGGATGCCAATCCATAAAGAGCTAGACCATCTATAATTAGTAGATGTTCTGGAATGCATTTAACGCCATGATGTCACTGTTCCCACTTTCGGAACAAAACCGCTCGGGATAAACGATCTCGTGAACGAAAGAGAGTGTTACGTTACGATCTATTCAGCCACGCGAGACGCAAGCAGGACATCTCCAGATCCGAGCAGCGGTGACCTCACCCAGTCAAGGCAGACCTTATCCTGCAACTGGTCACTTATGCTCAGTTTGGGGAACAGAGGGCTAGCTAGACAGGTATACATGTACAGGGTAAATAGTGTCTTGCAACAAGATCTAGGTTGATCCGCGTTACTCAAAGCGGTCGCAAGAGTCTTGACGGGTTTTATAAGCACTAGGGTATCCAATGTCTCTACTATGATTGACTGCAAAAGTTAGTCAGGGTAATGTTGATAATGATGAGCAAGTTGCGGACTTGACTCTTCGCTATAATCTTGATGTCACTCTGCAATCCCAAGATTGAAGAAGTGAAATTATCATCAAATGGCAGTCCTCGTTTAATGACCTTGAGTTCCTATATCCTTGTTTGTGAACTACTCATTTGACTTATAAACTCGCTCTAGTGATATTAATGCCGTAATATCAAGTCTATGTGTGCCATTTTCCCCACCGCCAGCTCCCATCCCACCACAACAGGCTCTAACATTGGCCATATCTCGATAATTAAGCCCAGCGTAATGCTGCTCGCCTTTGATTGGAGGGCTGCCTGGAGAAAGTGCCTGGTTGGGATTACAATGTCTTGACTGCATAAATTGGCATAACTGGGGGATAAGTTATGCAGCACAGCCTGCCTCACATTTGAATGAAATCCGATTGATCTTGTTCCACAATTGTGCCCAATGTCAGATGTGGCGCTCGCTTTGAGCCAATAGTTACCTGCATCAGGCGTGTTTGTTATTGGTGAAATGCTAAGCGAGGTTATGTGGTGCACATATTTCATATAGCGGCGCAGCAGAGATACTCAATGAGGTACAACCAAGGAGAAAATCTCTTCAACATGTTCATATTTGCTGAGAAATAGCATGTAAACACACTTTCCCTTTAGCCCCAAAAGCCCTTTCCCCCGTAAGTGTCGCCAACATGAACTCCTGAATCACCCTTGACCTCTATATCCTCGACGCGGTTGGTGTTGCGATAAGGGAAGCCCACTGATTGACCGGATGCCTCCTTGGTGAAGATGTTGCCGATTTCAAATTTTCCAGACTCGGATGTCTTGACGCGTGCTGCAAAGTTCTGGACTTCGACTCCTGCGAGCTTTTGTTTCGCCAAGTCATTCAGGACGGGGTCAAGCCCGTCTGCAGCATCGCGGATCAAATGCAAGCTCTGTTGATCGTCCACTTTCTGGATTTCCGCTCTCGCCAAATCCACCGAAGCTTGGGCGACGGAGGGGAAAACCAGTTCCAGTTCGTCTATGGACGTGACGATATTGTCAATCAGATTCCCCAGTCGCTTCTTGTCGTAGAGTGCCCAACCAGTCTTCCTGATCAAGCTTGTTCGATCCTGTCGTTTCTTGGTAATTGTTTGAAACTCATTTCGAAGCTGTTGTGAGGCTGGATCCAAATCCGCATGTGTCAAGGTAACCCGGTTCTGGTCTGGCGTCGATTGTTCGTAGCGGCGTGAGACTTTGTAAGCCCCTTCAATGCTCCCGACTATCTCTCGCAAGATATCTTGAGCGTGTCTCACCGATTCATTTGCAGGTGCACCGGACCTGAATCGAGGGTCGTTATTGATATCGATTGCGGCGCCCCATCGATCCAGGCGCCACTTGGCCACATCAAGTCTCAGTTGACATCTGCTGTAGTCTTTGCCAAAGTGTCGGGCGAGTTGGATGTACTCAAAACAGTCGACGCAATCGTTGAAGAGAGCAGCGATACTGATGGCGCCAGAAACCGCGCCGAAAATCTCGGTCATGTTTGAGAATGTTTAAAGTCTGAAATTAGATTACAGGGTTGGCTCAGGTGAGCCTGCTTTAAAGAAAAACATCGGTGTCCTATTACTGGACAAGATCTTCAAGCCATCTGCCTTGGCGAGAGCCTGCTTTGGCCGTGCATTGGTGGATGTGTGGCCCTGCTTATTGCACTTTCGCCCTGTTTGTTGCCAACAGTGTTGAAATTTTCAACCCCCTTGTCATTTCCCGTCCTCCTACCTCAAAAGTTTTTTTTTTCACCTCTTCCCTCACCGTTATTCTGCCACATACGTGGCCATTTTGCAAAACATCTAACTTCACCCGGGCGAGGTTGTACATTGTCGGTTATGTGCCTCGCCACCATCGCTACTACTCTTCGATATTTGTCATGGAACACAGCAACTCCAATCATGTGGGATCCATGTCTGCAGCAGGCTCCGCGCGGATTCAAATCGGCAATACCTCCACAATCAACAACACGACAAACAACTTCTCCCAGACTGATAACAAGAAATGCCTAAAGGCACTGTGTTCAACAGATCCTCGCCACGACAAGATTCGCATCGAACAGACTAACGGGGGTCTATTGAAGGACTCTTATCGCTGGGTCCTGCAGAGCCCTGAGTATCAGCGTTGGTGTGACCCAAAAGAAAACCATCCACTCCTTTGGATCAGGGGCGATCCTGGCAAGGGCAAGACGATGTTACTTTCGGGCATCATCAATGAGCAGGAACCTTCTACCAGACTGGAAAATTCGGAGACTGACACATCGCTGTCCTACTTCTTTTGCCAAGCAACCAATCCGGGTCTCAACAATGCTACGGCAATCCTAAGAGGGCTTGCATACCTGCTCGTGAAGCAACAACCATGCCTCATCTCCTATGTACGCGATAAAGCATCTCTGAATCCTGAGCACTGGAACTCCGGAGTGGCCATCAGAGATATTCTTTCCAAGATCTTGGGAGACTCAGCTCTCCAAAATGTCATCTTTGTCGTCGATGCCTTAGACGAGTGTGTCACAGACCTCGAGCTTCTTCTCGACTTTATCAGTTCAACTACATCCACGAAGGTTAGATGGCTTGTCAGCAGTCGCAACATTTGGGAGATTGAGCAACGCCTCAAACAGACTCAGACGAAACTCGCTCTATCGTTGGAGCTCAACGCAGAATCGGTTTCACAGGCTGTCAACTACTACATCAAACACCGTGTGCATGATCTGGGCGTTACGAAAGACTTTAGAAGTGAAGACCTGAGGCTTGCAAAACGCTACTTGTCGCAGAATGCGCATGGCACCTTCTTGTGGGTGGCCTTGGTCTGTCAACAGCTTGAGAGGAGCGATCCTTGGGAAGTTAAAGACTACCTCGAGCTCTTCCCCGCGGGCCTGAACGAGCTGTACGGAAGAATGATGGATACGATCCGCTCTCCAGTCAGCTCGGATCTCTACATTAGGATTCTTGCTACCATTTTCACTGTTTATCGCCCAATATCCCTTTCCGAGCTGATGGCCATCCAGAACATACCCGGAGATGAAGACATGCTCCCCAAGATCATAATGAAGTGTGGCTGTTTCCTGACCGTCAGAGGCGGGACCATTTACTTTGTCCATCAGTCGGCAAAAGACTTCTTGGCCAAACAACAGGATATCCTTTTCCCCGCTGGTATTACCCGACACCATCTCGGGCTCTTTAACGCATCTCTTAACAGCCTTGACGTCCTTAAAATGGATATGGATGACCAAGTTGATCCTGGCATTTGCCTCGCCTACTCCTGCAAGTTCTGGGCGCATCATCTACGTGATGCTCAGCTCATTCGCGCCCAGGACACACCACAATACAACAGGGTCCATCAATTCATTGCCGAAAAATTCCTGTTCTGGCTGGAAGCACTCAGTCGGCTCTACAGCTTGCCGGCAGCGATGAAAACTCTTCATATTCTCAAGGATCTACCACTTGTATGTTTACGTCTACTTATAGACTTGTCCACTTGTCTGTAATTCTAATGTGTGAAAAGGGTGACGAGACATTGGCACTTGTTGAAGATGCCCGGCGATTTTCCCTCTACTTCCAGCCTGTTATCGGACGTTACCCCCTCCAGATATACTATTCTGGCCTAATATTCAGCCCGGAAGAAAGTTTAATACGTCGCCACTTTGAACACTGCAGTCCCAAGTTTGTGGTAAAGAAGTCTCGAGTTGACTCGCATTGGCGCACATACTTTAACACTGAATGGCATTGCGACCTGACATTCTCGACAGACAACAAGTCAATGGTTACGACTAGTTGCAGTAAGCTGACCAAATGGAAAGTCAGCGATGGCACGGAGATCATGAGCGTTCAATGTCATGAGCTGGACTTCGTAACACCGTCGCCAAACCTGAATTGGTTTGCTGGTGTGGCTACCCGCCGGCAGTCTCCCGATGAGTTTAACGTACATACTCTTCAAGTCCTCGGCTTCGATTCAAACTGTACCGAGTGGAGCAAAGATCTTGACAATCGTCAAGTCATGGGGATGAAGTTTTCGCCCGACAGCCAGTGGTTAGCAGTATGCTTTGACGAAGAGTTAGTGCTTTGGGGTTTTGAAAAGGGCAATTGGAAAAGGTGGCCTCTCGGGGTTTCCTTTGAAGAACATAACCAAAAAATCGAATTTTCTCCAGACAGCGCCCTAGTTGCCATTTTTGGATATCCGGACATGCCCTTGGGGGGTATTGTGGTCCTTGATGTCCGAACGGGTGAGCAGCACAGGAACCCCAATGCAGGGACTGGGGAGATCCAGTCTGTGGTATTTATCCCCAACACTCACGAGATCATGATGTGCAGCAAGAGCGGCGTATGGTCATGGGATATTGTCAGGGGGGAATGCCAAGAATGGCTCAGATTCGGTGACTTGATCAGGGAGATCGCTTCTTCACATGACGCCTCCTGGGTGGCCCTGGCATCGAGTACCACAGTTTTCTTATACGGGAAACAGAACCAGGAGTTGCTGCAACATTTTGAAATATCGACGAAGCATGGCATTTCTTCAATCGCTGTATCTTTTGACGACCAGCGACTGGCAGTTCGCGCCCAGGAAACCGTTTGGGTCTGTGATATTGCATCGGCAATCTCGAGCCAAACCCGCCCCGACCCGGTCGCCGTTAAGAAAGTGTTTATTTCGGACAACAGGTGTTTGATGGCTTGGGCCCTTGAAATGAAGATTCAGATATTGGATGCAACCACAGGCATCCATAAATGCGAGTTCGACATGCCTTGGTCCTGGGACGCCCAGTCCTTGGAACCTGGTTCCACTAACAATTTGGTGGCATTTTCATCTAACGGTCAAATGCTTGCCGCAAGTTCTTCGCCGTCGAGTTCTTCGTCGCTACTCTCCGTTTGGGACCTGACTGGCCAAAGGTTACTGTATGAAATCAAGGTCCCTGAATCAATCCGTCAACTGGCGGTTTCTCATGACGGGAATAATCATGGACTATGGGTGGGAGCTATCACAGCACAAACCATATACCTCTGGGACGCTGCGAAAACGAGACTGCGATGGTCTTTGGAACACACCGGTTACAAGGACCCCATTGCACTACAGTTTTGCGGCAATAAACTAGCAGTATTATGGTCTTCAGGAGATGGCTGTAGTTTGATCTATTACAACGCCACAAACGGAACACAGCTCACGCATGTCGAACTCCCAAGTTTCTCATCGACCCGCTCCCCCCAAGACGAATTCTCACTGTCGCCCAACGGGCAAAGGGCGACATGGAGGTCAAGGGACAACAAACTTCAGATAGTATTCATCTCACGAAAAGAGGGGGAGATACGAATGGTTCCACTGCCCATAGGCAAGTGGTATAGGGGTCGCCTCTCATTTCTCAATGATTCAACGGTCTTGACTGACCAGGGTATGGTTGACATCGACACTGTGATGGCCGAAGCTGCCATTGAGACAAACACGCCGCACAACGCCTCCAAAACGACCGGAATTTCCGATTCAGCTTTTATTGAATATGGCTGTAATTATGGCCGTGATTGGATTACAGTGGACGGTTCCCCATTGATATGGTTGCCTCCGTACTACCGCCCAGGATCTCATTCCGCTTCCAGGCTCGCATCAGGGGAACATCATTTTGCAACAAATTGTTTTTCTGGTGTCTTTTTCATAGAGTTCTCTCAGGACGCGAGGAACTTCCCCGGTTATGATCGAGACGATACATCAGAATCAGAATCAGAATCAGAATCAGAATCAGAATCAGAATCAGAATCAGAATCAGGATCAGGATCAGAATAGTTTCACTGCCTAGATGGTCGAGAAGTAATTACTAAGTTTTTTCTTAATTTCTTTTTTCCTTTCTTGCTTTTGGGGGTTAGTTCTACGTTTATTACTCTAACAATGTTTTGATTTAAAGCTTTGCCTTTATCTCTCAGGCCTATACGTAATCTCAGCTGGTCCTGATTTGGATAGAAATCCCAGTCCAGCTATTTGATTCATGCATGCATCATGACTGTTGGTCCTACAACCAACTGCTGTGTTGTCCAACACACGCCCAGCCGACTGCTGCCTACGCCGGTGGGGCATTGCGTGTTTCAGATTGACGCTGCCAGATGAACATCATTCCATCAATCCCTCAATCTTCCCATCCCCGACACAAGCAAACCACAACATCTACCATGGCCAGCCTGCTAGACCTCCCAGACGAGACGCTCGAGAGTGTGTTGCTGTGCAATATTGACGGTCGCACACTCCATCAACTCACTCGTGTCAACAAGCGCCTCCACAGGATCGCGAGTCCCATCCTCGTCCAGTGCTGGCCATATTCCCATGAACGCCTGCTGCTGCATCTTTTGCACCATCCTGAGCTCAGAAAGCACGTCAAGGAGCTCAAATTCGAAAGTCTCGTTGCCTTCCGCGACCATGAAGAAGACCACTCCGGATGCGAGATCAGTGACGAGAGCCTGGAGGTCCTCGCCGCAACCGTGGACGACGCGTGGCCAGCTCTAGCCAAGTCAACCAAGTGGGCAGAGTATATCCGCAAAGGCAACACAGACGCCTTGTGCACGCTGTTATTATGCTGGGCAACCAAGCTTTCCAGTCTCGACATCACAATACCATACTTCGATGCCAAGCAGCGCCGTGACTTGCTGGTCTTGCGCTTAGCAAGCCAGGTGGTCCGAACGTGGAAGAAGACGGGGTCCACGGGCTTGCCGCTTCTTGGGCTGAGGTCCGTGGTCTTCCGTCACTGGGACACCGAGTTCAGCACTGATGGGCTATACGCAGCGGCCTTTTTCCACTTACCCAACGTTAAATCCTTCTCTTCATGGAAGTTTGGTCTGTGGGGTTGGGGTGAAGGCTCCGAGCGAAATTATAACGACCCAACTCTTGGCTGGGTTCCTACGGCGAATCCTCGCGACGAGTACATTCTTGATTTCCCCGTTGGCACTTCACCAATAGAGGAGCTCATTCTAGACGAGGTCGATGTTTCCGTGGAATCTCTGTCCAGAGTTGTCAGTGCCTGCCAAAGGCTCAAGCTGTTGCTGTACCGGCCAGGCCCAGTGTGCGACAATTCCTGGCTAAGTTGGAGGGGGCTGGCAAACGTCATGCTGCACCACAAGAATTCGCTGGAGACACTTCTCATTGATTTCGAACGTCCCGGAAATTCGATTCTCTTCAGTGATGATGAGGAAATGGAGCACGATGGGAGTGATGATGCCAATGACGATGGTGATAACTACGGACATGATGACGACCCTGAAGTTGGGAGCATTCACCTGCGCGACTGTTATCAATATCTTGAGTGCCTCAAGAGTTTGTCAATTGATGTCAGCTTCCTATACAAGGAAGATGACTATGGTGACTACCATATCACGCCTAGTCGTCTGCCGAATTCTCTAGTGAACCTACGACTGGAAGGCTTGTGTCTGACCTCATTATGGAAGCGATCTATCCAGGAGACTGAGGACCAAGTGAATGACCTTGCGAGCTTGGTGCAAGAATGTAACCTGGATGGGAAGCTGCCCAATCTCCGTCAGATAAATATCGCCGAACGGTTGCCGCAGGACCTTGTCCTTGAGGCATTTGATAGACTGATGGAGTTGGCAAAGGCGCGAGGAGTAAAGCTCACTTTCATAAAACGATGGGAAGAGCCTTGGGAGGAAATTGACTGGTATTAAGGAAGCCTGAAGCAGCAATATCATGGGAAGATTCGAGGGGTTAAAGTTGGTCTCAACTCCAATTATCAGCCGCTACTTGACTACCCTCCAGACCACGTGCTTGTGCCCACAAGTACGGCCAATATAGCCGAATAAGTCGCGGTCGATACCAAGGTTTCAATGTTGGAAACTCGCACGCTCAAAGAGACAATGAGTGCAAAGACAACAACAGCCACCGACACCGAGACCAAGCTTTTGACTTGCGATTCATCAATTCGCATTATGATCATTGGCATGACAACAAAGAGCCCACCAGTGACGGAGATGGTGAAGCGCACAAACCTGTCGATAAATGCTGAAACGTACTTTGGTGGTTCGCCGTCGAGGTATTCTTTCTTCCCCTCGCGCTTTTCGTGGTGGAAAAGGTGAGGTGGGAGGGGAGGTATCTCATGAGGGCCTATCTTAGGGGATCAAGTTTGTCAGGTCTCTCGTTGAAAGCCGAATAGTGAGACTGGAATAGATCATTGAAATCGCTGTGTGATCGAAAACATCTCTAAAGAAGCAGTTTTCGCCTGAAAATATACGTTGTCTTCCCTCCAATCATCCAAAAGGCGGCCTTAAAAAAGAACCCTCTTCCCTTGAAGATACATTTGATTGTTTTCAGTTCTGTACTAGGACCGACCGTGAGCTATTTTATTAACCAAACTTAGACAGCGACCTAATAAAAAAGTGTGTTGTCAAGCTCTTCTATTTGATTCAAATCCAAACCGACAGTTGAGCATTGTAGTGCAGGGTAGGTAGTTGGACCGATCACGGACTAATCATGATTGAGAATTATGCCAGAACACCATCTGACGTCATAGCATTCCGCAGTAGAATGAGTGCCGGAATCAGCTTCCGAGAGAATTCTTACGCGCGCGGCAGACCCACAATGATTGATAAGGTCCCGCTTTCCGTGTGGGATGTTTTAAGCTGAGTAATTCCTTCCGTCCAATCATGATGACAAATTTGCGAGCCTGGTCACGCAACACCACGGTCTTCTCCGCATTTCACATCATATATATATCTCCGTGACATACTCTCTCATCCTTCATTAAACATCAAGTTCACTCATCCTTGCATCTTATCCCTGTATCTTTTCTCTAGCTCCATATCTCAACCACCATCGACACTTCAACATGGGTGACGCTTCAGTTTACTCCTACCCTTCCCCTCTAGCTGGATACGAAAATGCCCCACCTTTGCCTGAAGAGAAGGCTGAGGATGGCAAGAGTTACGTGAATCCTCCGGCAGAGAAGCTCAGCGAGGCATACGACAAGTTTATTGCACCCCTTGATCAGGGTATCCGAGGAGGCTTGTAAGTTGAAAGCGAGGTGCTGATTGGTAGAGGTTGCTAACCACAAGTTGACAGTGATCTTCACATCTACTATCTTCAGACCAACCCGGAACAGTCCAAGTATGCCAATGAGTTGTGGCAACGCATCCGAAGAGAATGTGAGTAAAAGTAGGAGAACGTCATCCCCTCATACCCAAGCTGACACGATCTAGTTCCTGAACTCCGAATCTATCGCTTCTGGGATCGACCAATCGGCCCTCACCCAATCGCCATGTTCGAGGTCAACGTCTTCACACCCGCACAATTTGGCGCATTCGTCTCATGGCTGGCAATCTGGCGTGGACCTTTGTCGGTGCTGATCCATCCCAATGTCATCCCAGAAGAGGGCGTCGATCACAGAGCATCGGAGAAGCGAGATCACTTGGAGAGGGCCATCTGGATGGGTGAGAGGTTGCCACTGGATGTCAGTCTATTCAACAGGAAGTGAAGGATGCATGTAATGATGATGAATGGGGATATGGCGTGTAAAGGAAATTGCGATTGACTGAACCTAAAAGGAGCACTCCTATTAATAAGACTTGACAATACTCGATAGTAAAGTGTGTGTAGGAGTTTGAGCCTGATAAATTTATCGGAAAATTTCACCATTCAAGCTGTTCGCTACCAATACAGAGCCTCGCTCAGGCGGCCGGCACTGCGATCGCCCTAAGCCAGGAAGAAAGCTGCAGCCGTGGCAGCTAACCCAACCAACGCGTACTTCCCAACGTCTATAGCCCGAGAGTCATTGGTTTCGACCGCTGGAGATGACGCAGCTGGTGTTTCGTGCGCCGCGCTCGAGCTTCCTTCAGATACAGAAGTCTCCTCCATCTTTGAACTGGTCGCCGTCGAAGAAATCGTAACATCGGTTGCGGATGCCGGAGAGGCAGTGTTCGGGTTCTCAAGCTTGTCAACCCCTTCGGTGATGACAGCGGGAATCATGAGAGACGCCAGTTCCGTGTTGATGGTAACGAGAGAGGTAGACACAGTCTTGCCCTTGCTGGCTTCGGACGCAATGTCGATGTGACAGGTGGCGGCACCCTTTTCCCTGTCGAGTTTGCAAGCCAGATCCTCAGAGCTATATGCACATGATTGTCAAATAAATCGTCATACGAGATGAAACTCTCCAATTCGGCACTCACAAATAGCCAGCTTCCTCATCCCCAGCGAAATAGTACTGAATGGAAAGGGTGGATGGACCTTGGACCACAGTCTGGGTGCCAAGAATGTGACATTGTACATTTTCGACATGCTCAGCACAATGAAGAGCGAATGTCGTGACCTCGGGATTGGCATCAACGACCGCTCCGTACATGGTCTTGATGCCTTCAACCGGAAAGACGATGTCCAAGGTGGTTGTCTGCGCAACAGCCATCGCGGCTGAGGCGAGGAGAATAGAGAGTGAAAGTGACATTCTGTGACTGGGGCAAAGACAATGTTGACGTGTGTAGGTTGCAGTGATGTTTGAAATAGTTGGAGCATCATGGAGTTATAATAACTCGCTAACCCGTCAATACCTTGTTGGCTAATAATCCGAATCAGAACCTCTGTGAGTAGCAGGGATAAATACGCCACGTTCAGGCGTGTTTCTTGCTTAATTGGCGAACGCGCTCGACAGTTCTAACCCCTCTTAGTGCAAGCACCTTGATGACTTGAGCTGATGGCTGAACAGCCTGGACTGGGGAGCCGATATAGCCGTACATGGCGCCACAAACAAGACAAGAGCATAAGTCGAGGATGATAGAACGGGAGATTTATGAAGGCTAGCTGCCGGACATGTCTCCACGCCTCTCTTTGCAATGAAACAAGCATTTCCACCCATGGCTGAACTAACGCTCAATGAGGTTTGAGTAGAGATTCATGACACAAGTGAGCTTGCTTTCATACTTGATCTCGCCCTCCAACACATCACTTGCAGGCCCAAATCTGTTCCAAACTGGAATGAACTGGCCGTTTTCCATATTACCAAATCTGCCGAAGGCTGCCTTGAGAACTTCATGCTCGGCAATTCTGTCCACATCTCCTGGCTTGACAAGTTCGGATCCAGATATGTAGTCCTTTCCTTGTTGGGTCCTAGCTGAGACAATGCCCAAAGCACTGGCCTTGAAGCAGTAAGTGATCATGGCAGCTAAGCCTGCTGCCAAGGCCGTGGCAATGCTAGAGCCGGTTGATTCCTTGGTTGAAGAGGTCTTGTCGGCCAGGTAGAGGGGCAAACTGTTACCCCCGTTAGTGTTGACGCTCACTCCCGGGAAGATGAAATCGTTGTCCTTTCCAGCGTGACCATAAGCACTGCCATCATCATGGGCAGCTCCGATGAGGAAGAATCGCTGACGCTTGTAAGCTGATGGGTAATGCTCCGTTGCGTTGATCTGGTCTGATGAGGAGCAGAACATGAGAACCTTTTGCCTGCAGGCTCTCTCTAGCACGGCATCTAGCAGCTGCTTTTCTTTGCTTCCATCTTCAGGTACGGGTATCGTCCAAGACATGGAGATGATAGATGCCTTCTTTTCCAGAGCGGCCTCGATAGCCTAAAATTCTGTTAGTGCTTGGGGCTGTAAGGGCTGTGTGCTGACTTACGAAAGCTGCAGAGGCAGCGTCTATTGTTGAGTGTCCCTTTTCAGGGCTGATATGTGTCTTGAGCCGAATCGAGTAGATGCTCGCCATAGGACACACCTTCAGGATCATTCTAGCCATCTCGGTACCGTGGCCCTTGGCAGAGATGTAATACTGTCCAACACCTCCATCTTGGTAGTCGAAAGTCTTGCCCTCGATGGCACGCCCTGAAAACGCCGGATCACATGAGTCAACGCCATCATCGATCAGCGCGACAACAACGTCCTTGCTCAGCCTTTCGAGATCAGCCGCGGCCTGGCCATCTACGGCTGACGCTCCTTGACCGAGCCTTTCCCGAGAAGTTTCGATGGTGTCTTTCCAGAAACGGCCCATGCACCCGGAGAATCTCTCCATGCAGGTCAACCATTGATGCTCAGTGACTGGGTTGGTTCTAGCAGAAGTCTTGGAGGAGCCGCTAGACACTTGAATTTCAGTTCCCTTCTTTCCTTCTCTTGCAATGACCTCGATTGTGTGTTCAGGAGGAGGTGGCGCAGTGATAGCTTCTTCAGTCTTTTCCACCGCTGGTGTCGAGCTGTGTGTTTCCTCAAATGGTCCTGCAGAAACAGCGTCTGCTGTCGTGACATTGCGGATGAGATTGACATTCTTGTTGAGGCGAGCTCGGAACTCTTCGAGGTTCTTCTGCACCCAACTCCTGGTATCATAGAGCTACGGTGATCAGTCAGTACTGTTTCCTGCCTTGTATCAAAGTTGCTTACATCAGAATGGGGCGGAATGCAAAGATTGATGACCTCGAGCTTCTGAAGCTGTGGCAATCCCTCCGGCTCGCTCCAGGCCCTTAACACAGCGTTATTGCCACTCCACTTGAGAGTTACTTCTCTGAGTATGTTCTTAGCCCCGTCATCAGAATCATCACTGGAGACAGATGACCTGTCAGCCTTGCTGCTGATATTACAGATGACGCGAGGATCAAGGTCAGACTTTTGCCAGTCCAAATGCTCAATCATGATCTTATCAAGCGAAATCTGGATCGCCTCATCGCTATGAGGAATCTTGCCGCTGTCTTCAACTTCGAGTTTGAGAATGCGACGGACGCCCTTGGCATAGAGCCAGTCAAAGAAAAACTCCATGTCCTGTCGGCCCAGGGCTCGAGGTTTGGGCGCTCTTCGTCCGCTGTGTATCACCGTCACATCTGGGAATCTCACGTACATCAGGACTTCGTCGAATTGGATACCGCTGTTACGATCCTTTCCGAATCGTTCGTTGAAGACGTGAGCTTGTATCTCAGACGGGAGGCCCTCATAGTCGAAGCAAATCTGGACGTCTGGTCCTCAGTTAGCAAAGTGACATGCACCTTGAAAATGAAAATGCCCTGACCTTTATGGACGTTTTTGCCGTACAAGAAGGAATTTGCCATCTTGATGGTTCGCGTCCTCATGTAGTGCAATTTCAACATGCTCAGAATCCTCGCAGAGTTCTTCGACAACACCTTTGGGTTGGGCTTTTTGGATGAAGTCTTGCTCGACGAAACCGCCTTCTTCTCCCTCCTCCTCTTGTCGTCGCTAGCGCCCAATCTTCCTGTTGCAACTCTCTTCAACGGAGTGTTTGGTGCATTGTCTCCTCCTGTAAATCCAGTCTCTACCCTTGGAACACCTGTCGCATGGTCGAATCGTCTCTCGTTTTTGGCATGGTGTCTTGTGCTGGAAACCTCTCGTTCGGGTGCTTGATCTCGCCAATTCCTCTCTTCCCTCGCCCGTCTGTCTTGTTCTTCTTTCTCCTCCTCTTTGAGCTGCTGTCGCAACCTCTCACGCTCATCCAGCATGTCTGCATCTGGCTTTCTTCTGTCGTGATCCCTCTCGGGTCTCTTCCATCCACTGTCGCGTTCGGGCCCGATCTGAGCTTTTGGATCTTTTCCGCGCAGACCTGCTTTAGGAGACTCCCTTTCTCTCACCGTGACGTTGACAGTGGATGTCTTGGACTCTGCTCTCTCATCTTCTGCCTCTTGCACTTTGGCTTCCCGCACTCTAGCCTCTCGCTCTTTTCGTGCGAGTTCCTCAGCAAGGTAGACTTCTGCTGTTCTTTCATACTCACCGTAGACGGAGTACTCAATCGAGTCTTCTCTCCTCACGTACTTGATGTCCAAGAAAGTGTCAACAGGTCTCAAACTCGCCGTCTCCCTCAATTTGGTGACAGCCTCGCGATCCTTCTCCAGCAGAAGCTTGATGACATCGACCCTCTCGTCAGTACACTGAGAGTACTGAACTGCCCAGTGGAATGGCGTCCTTCCAGAACCATCCTTAGCCTCCAAAGCTCTTTCGCTAGCGAATTGAACCAAGATCTGTAGCGCTTTGAGTCTGAGGTCCTTCTCGAATGCCAATGTGAGACAAGTCTTTGCGGAGTCTCCTTCGCCACATGGAGACTCGAGCGCGTCTTCGATGCATTTGGGATCAGAACAGCTATTCAGCATAAAACCGACCAACTTCCAGGTGTATCTTCTGAGGTGGATAGCCTGGTATAGAGGAGTCTGTCCGTCGTCGTTCCTAGTCTTCAAATGATCCGGATATTGGGCGACTATTCTCTCGACTGACGGCCTGACGTGTTGTGCGTTGACTGCCTTGTCTTTGACCAATTGGACAATTCGGTGCAAGAAGGTTACGCCGTCTTCGCTAAAGTGCTTGACAGTCTCTCCATGGTGGCGAAAGAACTTGTCAACATGCTCCTCGTCGGCCTCGCTGTCAAAAGTCTTCTTCAAATCGGAGATGGCGAGTTTTACGAGATCATCTTCCTCATCTGTCTCCTCCTCATCGTCATCAGAGTCTCTTTGTGGATCTCTGTCCTCTGCGTCCGACATGATAGCTGATGGGCGAGGGCTGTTCGCGACGTGGTGGTGACGTACGATTCAAAGACAGAGATTGCCCAATCTCCTTGAACTTAGGTAGGCGGAATTTCCTGTCCTTGCAAGGGACACGCGGAAGAGGTCTTCTGGCCCCCAAATGAAAGCTTGTACCCTGACCACTTGGCAAGTACCTCAATGTCTATAACTTCCCCCTCTCTTGTGCCTAAAAACCCCTGCTTTGCTGACACCTGGAAATCCTTTGCGCATGCTCATGGTGGCATTTGGCGCTCCCAGAGTTGATTGGCAAGGCGTGGTTTCAAACCCCCTGCTAGGGCTCACTATCTCCCCACTGAAAAGCAGAACCATGCAGCGTCGCACGCCAGTGGGCGGTTAGCCAATCGTCCCCAAGGTTCATTTGACTTGTCAATGGGACATGAGAGGGAGCCAAGTTCCAGTCTCGCGGCGGCTATCGTACCAGTTCAATGTCGTTCAGATGTGTGCATCTTTGTGCTGCATGTGCAGCCCTCCCCAGACCATTTCACATACTTTGGCCCTTGCTCAGGTTCAGCTGAAAGCAAATAGGTTGTTCTTTCTACCATCGAAATGTCTGCCCACCAAACCGAAGACCCGAACCTCGAAGGCGTGGAGGAGGAAGATGGCGTCGAGTTATTTGACATTGGGATGTTCGAAGGCGACATCGAAGGGGGCCGGTTTCACACCAAAAACAACCCGAAGGACCCCTATCAGCGCCGCGAAGTCATTCAGAGGTCTGGTCATGGTGTCGATATCCGATGCACCCTAATCGACGCCATTCATGGTGCCATGTCTGAGGACAGTGACTACTGGGCGACTCTGTTGGTTCTCCAGTTCCGTTTTGATCCTCAGAAGAGGGCACGTCGAATCTCAGAAGCAACTATCGAGCTCACGTTTGACGTCTCAGACCCGGATGGCATCCCTCCGGAGGTCGAGGCAGTTTCCTTCGATGGGCACTATAGCTTCCTTCCCAGCAAGCAATCCGAGACTGTCACAAGAGGTGGCGAAGGGACTGTTGGCGTCAGCTACGGAGCAGAGCTGGGCGCCTCAGCAAAATGGGAGAAGGCAGTAACTCGTGAAACGGAAGACGCTACCAAGATCATGGGAGGCAAGCTTATCGCCGGCAGCATGCCCCCCGAACGCAAGGCAAAGTGGACGCTCCTGGAGAATCAGACTCTCAAGACGGGTGTCCCGGCTTCCGTGCGAGTTGCTGTCAGGATCAAGAGAATGGACGAGAAAATGTTTACCTGCCTTCCTCGGCTCAAGTGCAAGGCAGATCGGTGGACGTCGCTGCAATCTTTCTTTGGGGGAGTTCCTGCGGATGATCCAGTGCTATTGAAGCCGGATATGAAGCCGACAAACAAGTTGATGGTGTATGATACTGAAGAGCTGGGCAGCGTTGACCTGCAGAAGCTTAGCGATGTTACGTTTACTACGATGATATTAGATGCTCAGAAGTAGCCTCAGAGGGGTTAAATTTAGAAGATTAACCGTAGTTATCTTGAGTACACAAGTTCGCGCTCTAACCAGAGAAAGCTATAAAGACCCCTTTACAACCGTCCACTTCACCACCTTCGCACCTTTTTTACTCTGTATTCTTACCCCCCCGATACAGTTCGGCATGCGTTTTTGCGTGTGCGGGATTTCCTGGCGACCCCATGCAACCAGTTCCACTGTATCCTTACAGTGTTGCACTACCACGGGCCGAAGAGCTTGGCCTGGACAACCAACAGTCCGCTCAGGACCTGGCATTCAGGTGACTATGCTTATGAATCGTTTTTGGCTTCGTACCTTGCGCTTATCCCTTGTACCTCGCAGGTACCACCCCCTAATTTACGCACGCAATAAGCACTGCGAGGGTCCAGTAGTGGACCGCTTGTTTCTCCAGGTAAGCCCATCCGCACACCAAGACTTGGGCAACTCGAAGCATTCTTACCCGTGCTGGTCAAAGATCATTGAAACCCTTCAATCCTGACGATATGTCAGAGCCTGAAGAGAGTGCTCCCGACTCTCCAATCCACGACAGAGTCGTTGGTGAGAGCTCAAGTGAGACACCAGCACCCACTGACCTTGCCAACCTCGACAAGGACGAAGGCGGCGACAATGAATCCATCTTCTCGGACTTATCTGATCCGGATACTGACGACCTTTTGTCCATCCATTCAAACAAAGAGGACAACTCCGACGGTCAAGCTCGACCCCTGGGATTGAGCAGACCTTGGGGATTCTCGGACTATGACGACTACGAGTGGGTGACCCGTCACTGTCTATTCTTGACAATGAACTGATTCTTACTCAGTGTAATCACCGTCCACGGCCTTCGTGATGACCATAATACCGTATGGACATCATACGAGGGAGATCAATGGGTCGGCCAGCGATTGTTTGAGCACCTCTCAGTTCGACAACTGGATTACCTCTATCCTACCGATGAAGCGGCGAGAGTTTTCCAGGAAGATGGAATCAAGGCCGAGGCTCGAAACTTGCTACGGTTGTATAGTGAATACAGGCGAGAGCTTTCGGATGTGAGCGATCTCTCTTACGTGGTTGCATTAGCTGGCTAATATTGTTCATACCTAGACAGAAGTGGATCGACCCATCATATGGCTTTGCCACGATATTGGAGGAATCATAGTCAAGCAGGTTGGTTGTTCCTTTCTGACTTAGCAATCGGAGCTCACGCTTTTCTAGGTTCTCATTGAAGCCGCTCAAGCTACTCTCGCCGAAGACTACAAGGATGAAGAAACTTGGAAGTACATGAAAGAAGCTCACAGGAGGATTGCCACTCAATCCACCACGATTGTACGATAACATCCCCTCATCCTTGCTATTTTATTCCACTGAGACCAACCTGAGTTCCTGGCAGATCTTTCTCGGTTGTCCTCACCAAGCAGAGTCGATCGACATTCTCGAGGATGAGCTGCACAACTTGATCAGTCTTCCAGGCCCAGACATCAAGAATGGAGTCATGAGAAAGATTAGAAGTCTTGCCCTGCAAGTAGACAAGATCAACCTTCAGTTCCTGGACACCAAGCTGTTCTCTCGCTTGGTGAGCATCAACGTCTTTCACCTTGATGCTCTCAACACGGATGAGTCGAGCGACAACCAGACCGACAGTACCGCCAACCCATCTTCGGCAGTGATGGAGCTCCCAACTGCGCCAGCATCACCATTCAGTCGATATACAGTAACGATGCACCACACCTTTTCTGCACTCGGTGTCTTCTCTCAAGACGCCATTAGCCACGCTGATCTCGTTAGAGGTGACGGTTACGAAGATGACAGTTGGGTTTCTTTTCTTAAAAGTTGGGTTTCTGTTCTTAAAGAACGCTTCAATTCCGATATGTACCGTAAGAGAGACCCTTCTGAAATATGCCTGATCCCTTACTAACGAGTATCTAGCTCTCAAGGTCAATCTTGGTCACATACACTTGCAAACCGCTCTCCTATCCATTGCCCCTCCAACAAGGCCACCAAAGGTGCACATGGATCCAACTGTCCCTGAGGATCGGCAACTCCCATTCCTCACCTGGCTTACCAGCCAAGAGGCATTCAAAACTTTTGACAGAAAGATGAGACCAGGTGCGCTGTATCTTGAAGGTGTTCCCGGAGACTCAAAATGAACCGCCATGCTCACTCAACACATATACGCCAAGTACGAGTACGGATATCTAGACTTATGGGGGGAAAAATACGGATTTTCTGCCTTTTACTTCGAGTTCAACAAGCATGACAGCCGCTACAACAACATTAGGGCCATGCTCATCTCCTTCATCAACGACATGGCGTGGCAAAACTGGCGGAAGATGCCAGACGGCCCAGTCATCCGCACAGTGCTTGACAACCTGGGATACCACCACCGCTGGTCATTGCCGGATCTTTTTCAGCTATTCACTTTGATCAGGAAGTGCCCGAGTGTGAACAACTGCGCCATCTTCTTGAGCTGTTTCGACGAATGTGTGGAAGAGGAGCGGACATGGTTCCTAACAAGGGTCAAGGAGCAGTTTGGCCGCAATGAGTGGTACTTCCGCATTGTTATCACGACGAGTGGCCCTGATAGTTCGATCAAGAAGTTAATTCCCGAGTCTCAAGTCTTGTCCATGCAAGACTGTCCAACGGGGCCAAAGGGATACGCAGCCGACGAGAGGGGCTTGGAGCAGCCCGAGCTTGAGCTTGCTCTTGACGGTTTGCTAAAGAAGCGTCCGGTTCTAAAGCACCTTGAACCACAGCTCAAATCTATCATGGATGACTGCTCCAGTGCGCCTCATCTTGGCCACAGAATCATCGACTGGCTCAGTCACCACAAACGAGGATCAGCAATCGAGTCCATCAGTGCCGATATCAGTAGACTGCGCCCAGTGACACCGGAGAATATCGTGCGCGTCTTCATAGAAAGTCACTCTCGGGAAAAGCAACCACTGGCAAACGAGACCTATCTATGGGTAAAGTACGCCGTGCAACCATTGACAATTGAGGCTCTAAGTCACGCAGTTGTTGCGTCGACAACATTATTACCCGGGGATACACTCCAGGATTTGGATCACGAGCAACTTGCCCAAGATCTTTCAAAAATCCTCTGTGGAGTCATTGTCATAGAGAACCGAGAGGTCATGTTCTCTCACCCCTCGTTTTACTCTGCAGCTCTGCCATTGGGCGATGAAACCGAAGATGAAGAACCAGCAGCCAGCCACTGTTACCTCACACATGCGTGTTTGAATTATCTTCGGAACCATGAAGTGCAAAAGAAGTACTCTAGATTCCGGGTGGGAAACTATGACAGAAGCTTCCCCAGTTGCCCCCTCCTTATTCCTCGAGACGATCTTCTATACTATGCTGTTCAATTCTGGCCTGAGCACTATCGACTCGTTAACGATCATCAATGCAGTCAGAGCTCGCCACTTACCGAAACGGCATACAGCTACCTTGGCGATATAAAAACGAGTCGAGACTGGTCCGAGGCCTATTACCTACTTTCAAACCCTTTCAAGCGCATCCAGAGAAGCTACCTCACTGCGTTGCCCATGGCCGCCGCGCTGGGATGGAAAGACCTTGTTTGTTTGATACTTCCCAATAACAAAGACCCAGAGTGGTTTCAGCAAGACATTTGGCTGGCAATCACAGAAGCAGCTCGGAACGGCCATGTAGATGTCGTTGGTAGACTTGAACGAGGTTCAAGAGGTTCAAAAGTTGGCGCTGCAAGATGCCATCTTCTGGACTGCATCTCCTGGGAACGAACAGATAATCCTTCAACTTCTGGACAAGGTTGAATCACCCCGAAGCTTTCCCTGGCCTGAGAACATCCTTTTTCGCGCTGCATCTGCTGGACTTGAACCCCTGGTCTCGGTTTTGTGCGGGTCTGGTTACGACCTGAACGACTGGAACGACCAATATTGCTACACAGCTCTTCAAGCAGCCATCTTCTGGGATCACTTCGATGTGGCAAAGATTTTGGTAACCTCTGGAGCCGACTTGACTGTCCGGGACACCAATGGCATGACCGCCTTGCTCATAGCTGCTAGGTTAGGCCAGCCAGAGATGGTGCAGTTGCTCCTCGATCACGGCGCCGACATCAACGACCAAGACAATGACAACTACAGAGCTGTACACATTGCTATTGATGCGGGCGAGTATCGAGCTCTGGATCTGCTCCTGAAAGCCGGAGCCGACGTTCACTTCAGCGACTCCGAGGGCGGCCTACCTCCCCCAATCACTCTTGCAGCAAGTCTCAACAGTAGAGATTGCATTCGTGTGCTTTTGGAATACGGAGCAGATGCACGTACTCCCTCACCAAATGGATCCCCTCTGTACAGTTCCTGTGACAGCGTTCAGATGATTGAGACCTGTCGTTTGCTTCTCGAACACGGAGCAGATCCAAACGAGTCTTCCGAGGAAAGGGCAATGCTTCTTGCTCGCGCCTTGAGTTCCCAGAGCAAGGAAATGATCAGTCTCTTGATTGAACACGGCGCCAAGCTCGACTCTTTCGATCCGTGCGAAACCATGCAGCTCAGGACACCCTTGTCAAACGCCGTTTGGCAGTGTTCTATTGACATGATAGAGTTCCTCATCGACAAAGGAGCCTCGGTCAACTATACTCCCGGGGATGATCAATCTCCCCTGTTTGCCGCAGCCTATCAGGGGACAGACATTGAAAAGGCAAAGTTTCTTCTCAGCAGGGGCGCGGACATCAACTGGAAATGGTACAGTGGCTGGACTGTGCTACACGCTTCCTACGATGCCCCCGAGTTTGTGTCACTCGTTCTTGAGCACGGCGCAGATATCAACGCGATGTGTGACGACTATGGCACCGTCTTGATGATGGCTGCTAGGTGGGGGCACATCAACACCATCAAAGCCATCATAGCACATCAGAGCCCGAAAGCAGACCTCAACATTGAACACGACGCAAGTGGTGCGGGCCGTTCATTTTCGGCTCTCTTTTTTGCCGTTGAGAACCACAACTT